GGAAGTGAGTCATTAGTTTTTCATCGATTCTGAAAAAGCACATTATTTTAGTTAATACACCATTGTGTTGACAGTGCGTCATATTACTTTATTTAGCTATTTGCGAAATAAATAAATAAATAGTAGACATCGTCTCTGTCGGTCTGATTCCAAAGCTAGTAACAAAAGTACTTGTGTTATAGAAATCGGAAACAACGACGGTACCGCAAACACTTAGACCCGAGACGATATAGAAAAATTTGGCTTTACTACATTGACCCGGTTGGGGATCGAACCATGGACCTCAGAGTGAAAATCGGTGTGCAAGCCACTAGACCACTGAGGTCACCAGATATTTTAACCAAATTTCGAACTGTTATTGTAATATACGTATGTAATTTTTCAATTTTCGTCCAATCTAGCAAAGCTCAAATTAAACTGGTAGATTTGAAGTCAAACATTTGACGGCACCCGTCAATGTTTCGTATCCGGGCTGGCCTATCGGAGCGCAGCTGTCACAGTAATCATTTGGCAGAATGCTTTTTCAACAAATTTAATGACATTTCGTCTCTATTTCCGGTTATATACTCGATGTGTATACACATTGACTCAAGTTATGAGGACAATTAATTATCGACAAAAACATCTATTGATCAGCAACTCTATTAATGCAACATCTGGCTTAAAGGATAGAAAATACTAAAGGCAAGGTTCTTTCGCAAATTATTTCCACATTCAGTGAAGATACTGCAGTCACACATCCAGCTAACAATCACGCCGAACAAATTATTATTATGACCTTAATTATTGAATGTCAAAGATTGGGAACATAATATATCAATGTTAATACATACATATTCAAATTACAAATCTATTACTTACGGTACATTTTGTTCTAGAAATATTTTGAAGACAAAACGACAAACATCTCTATAATGTTTATAAAAAACAATAAGCACACTCCGAGAAACTAATCGGCATGCAGTAATTAATTACATTTGATAAAATTTTCGAACAATAAGTCTTAGCTTTATTGCATCTGGATGATTACTTCGAGACTTGGGAACAAGGCACTGTCTAATATTTTGGTTGGCGGATACCATATTCTAATACAATATAACAACTTTATTTGACAATTTAAACTGCTTCTATAGGCATACAAGGGCCCCTCTAATACGCGGTAATGAACACAGTGGAAGGATGTACCTTTAACACCGGAATTCGTTCCAACAGCTCTAAACGCAACTGTTATGCACTATAACATTAAATATACATCTTTTCCTCATACGTATTAGGTTGGTCATTGCATTTGTCGAGTGATACTGAACACAACAGATTACTAAAATACAGTCTATTACTAACTACACTTCAACCTTTTCAGAAAGATTATTAACGACCTATTATAAGAAGCAAGATCTTTTTAAATATAATTTTTCGTCGGCTGCCTAATGTACTTCCAAGGAATGACGGAAGACTAGCTGAAGAATGTAATTTAAAACTTTTCCTTACTTTACGGAGTTTGGCTACGTACGCGTACCAGCACAAATTTTCAGATGTGGCGAGTGATAAGTCAAAAAAACAATTGTCCACTAGCTCTTAACTTATGGTACCGGCACGCTATGATGGCCGTTTTGACGTTTGACCGCTCATCAAGTTTCGTATTAATTTATAACTACGTTGAAGGAGCTAATTGCTGAACATTGTTGTCAATAGTGACGTGCAGTAAAATTTATGGATGTATATTTATTAATTTTACGATACAACTCGGCATTTCCAAATTAGAAATTTTTAAAAGTGAAATCTGATACAATCGTCACTTATAGGTTCGCTGTCCAACACAACTTCTACCTCCAGCAAACTCGCGTCAATGCTTTGAGCATTTCGAAACAAAGCAGTTTCGAATTGACGATATATTAAGTGAACATTTTTATTTTCGTTTTATTAAAACTTTTTAATCAGTTACCCTTTGCAATACTTGTTTTAAATCTAAAAACGTATGAATGACTCGCATTTGGTTATATTTTTTTCGATACTGAATTGAGATTTGACCGCACTATTGTAATCTGTCAAAACGGCCATCTTAGCATGCCGGTACTGTGTATTCAATACATTGTTTTAAGAGTGTCTTATTAATTTAAGTATTGGTTTAATACGTACTTAAGTTTATTGCAAAAGGACAAATAACACCTAAACATACACATGAATGAAGAACAGCGTAATAAGAGAGAGTTGGAGTATCAAAGTTAATGCGAGAAGATACGGTTGAAGAGGAGATACTTCGATAGAAATTGGTTGAATAATGACAATGAAAATGAAGAATTCAATAAATGTAATGTCGCCGCAATCGAGTTCTTTCTGAAAAGGTCGTAAATATGTCATTGAGTCTAACGGGTTTCTTTACTCTATCTAGTAGATTTGTCTCGGCAAATGCTGCGCTTGCGCATTGACCGCATAAACGGTTTTTATAGAATTTTTTTATTGTCATGCGTGGCACAAATAATACATAATAGATACGCAAGCGTAGCTTAATGCGACGACGACACAAAAAGGGCACTAAAACTAAGTGAATTGATTCAAAACCGCTAAGTGGACATGTTCGTCAACCGCTTTGCGACACGTTTATACCTTATATTACTTACACGTCATTATATTTAAAACATAATTTTAGTTTACAATATTGGTATTTTGTACATCTCTATTCATTTTGATACTTGTGACATAGTTTAACTTAATATTATCTGTGTAACAGTATAGCAAAAAATATTTATTTTTAATTTTATTAAATTGGCTACGGAATGAGCTAGTGAATCTTACGATTTGTTGCAGATCTTTGTTTTTTGGATTTTAACGACTTCTTTGCTTTAGCGCCATCTGTGAGAAATCTTAGCTGCTTAGCACGGTTTGCTGGAAGACGTTGGTTCGAATCCAGCGGGATCGAAGGATTTTTTGTAAGTGATCGATCTTGGCATTAATAATTATATTTATGTCATAGAACGAAAAGTAGACGTCGATTTTTAAAATACTGTTGTAAAACACGCTAAAAGTCTAGCGTTTCATACTATCAAGAAGAACTCAAGCAGCCTTATTTGTACAAGTCATAATACTGCCTTCGGAAGAAAAAAAGTTACACGCAGCAAATAATTAATGTTTAGATATTTTACAGGTTGTTGTGACAAAAAGAATAATTAAAATATACTTTTGATATTAAGTAGGTTATTTCTGTTATAAATGCATATCACATGTTTTATACAGAAACTTTTATAAAATTTTAATCGGCCGTTTTTAAAAATACCTTAAATTTCTCTTTTAATTTACAAGAAAAAAAATTGGTTTTATTTGTTTTTTTTTTATAATAACGAATAAGTGAAGTGAATCGTAAACTAAAGCGTACAATTATATTCAGTTGTACCTTTTTTGTGTTATTATATTATAATGTAATCGTACTACCATAATAAGGGCACAGTCCGAACATTATTAAGAGTTCTCATGCCACAAAAGTTTTGACGTTGGCTCCGCCCAAATTTGTGAAACAAATATACGCCTGAAGTTCGCGTGACATGCGACAGAAGATGTTGAATTTTGCGCATTAAAAGTACCCAATTCGTTTTAGCGGAATAACTCTTAAACTATAGTGATGAAACAAAAATCCGTAGTGACAGTTGTCGGTCATGCATAAATATAATTAATTATCTAATTTTTGTCCTAATAACCTGTAGCATTTCCAGGATAAATCGAATAAATGTGGGAATTAGAGGTCATTTCGTGATTTTTATCTATCGAGGAAACTTTTATTGTTTTATATTTCTGATTAATGTCTATGCTTGAATATATCGTGTAGTTACTCATACAATATTTTATTTTTACTTTAAAGTGGATATACCCCTGTAAAATCAAATCGAAGATTAGAAATTTTTCCTCTGCTCCCTCTTAAGTAAAATCCTTTGATATGAATGTTTTTAACGCAATAAACGTCAAATATTACTTTCTATAATTAAAAGTCTGATTATTTAAGTCAGATGTATGGATGTATAGAGTATGTATGTAACTAAATTTCGATAAAAATGTTAGTCGTGCCCTTTTTCGTTCCGAGGGCAGAATAGCTTAGCTTCGTTATAAGAGTCCGATGTAGTAAAACGCTCGCAGATCGGTTTTACCCTTTAAAACATTACTTTTGTCCTTTTCTGCTGAGTGACGTCAGTGATGTCTTTAATATTCATTTATACAGCTATTGTATATCTCACAACTACAAAAGTAGCATATTAGACAACACATTTGGCGATCAAAATTTTTGTTATAAAAGAATCAAGAAATTTGTTTCAAGTCTTTGTGTCTGTTCGTATTACTAAAAATAGTGTATTCTCGAGTTCTACAGCGTGCAAGCGGCTGACCCGGTTATAGTTTAAAAGTTCAACGACGCATTTAATTACAGACCTACCGCAATGAATCGGTTCCTGAGATAGCTGCGTGGTTGGAGGAGTGACAGTTTACGTAAAAGTTATGTCGCGCTCCATATGAAATAATTTCAACAAGATTTTTTTAACGAATTCTAATCAATTAGTAATGTCCTAATGTGTTTCCGATCGATTTTCCATAACAATCGATTTTATTTATGAAGAAGTTTTAATCGTGAATGTGAGAGGGGTCAAAAAAGAAGTTTGTTGTCTGACAATTTGTGTACTCAAGAATTAATAATGAGGATTCAAGTTATAATTTCCGTTCAGATGAAGAATCCGACGATTCATTATAATAAACAATAAGAATTTATTATAATTGTTTGTAATTTATTTCATTCCATCATAATTTATTAGACAGGTTACAAAATTTATCAACTTGAATATCTGTTGGCTTGATAAATATCGGAGCTAAAGAGTACGTCACTTCACGTCAGTAATAAATGATTGGACGGAGTATACCAAATTAGTCAATTGTTGTTTGTTATGTGAAACCATAATAAAAAAGCCATTTCAATGATAATTGAAATGAATAGACAAGCCATTTGGCACTTTTTTCAATCAACTTGTTATTGCATATCGTCAGAAAAATCTTGGTGAAACTATGCCGTGTGGAGCGCGACATAACTGTTACGTAAACTGTCACTCCTCCTGCACACCTGCCCCAGGAATCGACTCACTTAAGGGGTAGGCTTGTAACAATATGAAGTTATAAACATCCCAAGTCGACACAGCGACTTTGAATCCATTCCCTACAGTATTTAAGACCTATTCGTTTATATGTGAAATGAAAATAGTTTTAACCCAATCTCTCTTGTCAATATATTTATAACTGTCACGTATAAAGCGAAAGTTATGAAGCAAAATTAATTTCACCTCTTTCCTATGTTAATATACAGTGAATGCTAGTAGGGCTGCGAGAGCCGAGTCAAGTTTCACTTCTTGGTGGGTGTGCCGCGCTGGGTGAGACCCTCGAACCTCTTGAACGTGTAGTTGATGAACACCCAATCTTTATACGCCACATCGCCTTCTTGTGTGATGGGGGCTGACGCTGCAATTCATAACGAGACAAGTGTTATTTATATTGGAAGCATTATAGACTTCTTAAAAATAACAAAAATATCAAATAGAGAAAATATCATATAACGTTATTGATTACGTGACAAATTATCGAAAGGGTTCTGTTTCTGGCTTGACAGTATTGGTTTCTGTGCGTAGAAAAGAGCACCTATAGCCCTGAAACTTTGGTTTTGTCTTGGTATTTACTAGGGTTGTTGCGAATATCAGCATCCGCATCCACATCCGCTATTAATCTGCATAAATTAAAATATCCGTAACCGCATTCATCGATGATGCTGATATTCAATGCGGATGTTCGAGTCGTGACATGTCCTAAAACGTAAACGTTCTGGAAACAGACTGGTAGCCGAAAAAGCAGCGTGAGCTCAGCTGTTGTTTTTAGAATATAACTTAAAACTATTTTATTACAACATAAACAAAAATTGAAAGCTTTTTCAGGTAGATATATTAAGTGAGGATGTAATTATGTTTCGTGTTTTTTTTTATACATAAAATAAGCATCCGCTGATGTGTAAAAAACCTGCATCAGCAACAATCCTGGTATTTACATACTGGCCTGTTAACTAAAACCTGCAAAAGTACACATTTCTATTTATTTAATAAGGTACATTAAGGACGACACAACATTCATAAATTATTAATTCTTTCTTTTTGTTTGTCACCAATTTGTAGGATTTTGGTAGAAATACATATACTATTGATACGAAATAGAACATTCAGTTTCTTTTGCACGGAGCAGAAGCTTGGACACTCTTAGAATCTGTAATGATTGATGAATTATGCGCAAAAAAAGAAACGAAAGGGTGCTGCAACGTGTTGGTAATACCAAGAGTGTTAAATAACATCAAAAGAAAAAAATGGAGTATCTGGGTGCTGTAAGGGAGGTGTAGGAAGAAGGAGAATATCCTGGCTCACAGATTCGCGCCAGTGGTTCAATAGGAGCACCCGATCATTATTCAGAGCTGCAGTGTCCAAAGTTCGGGTTGCCATCTTGATCGCCGATCCTCATTAGAAGATACGACTCTCATAGCCCCGCATTAGGGAAAGCCTGTGGCGCGTGTGCCATGGACACATACATAGACAACCACAAATTACACCCAAACTCACGCGAGAAATAAAATGTAGGCCTCACAAATATTTCTCCTGGCCCAGGAATCGAACCAAAAATTATGAGTTGGAAATAAGGAGTTATAATTCATCGGACACGTGATTTTCTTTCATTATACACGAATGTCGTATCGACAGATCTGATTTAGAAGAGCTACTTGACAAATCAAAGAGATCTTTAATATAGAGATGCACGCTCGCAAATGATTTCGATATTCGACTCGTCACAAACCCTGTCACTCGAATGACAAATTACTAACCTACTAATTTTTGTATTCGAATGACCAGTCTTTACTAATCCATAGATTCCATGGAACACAACGATACCCATGACCACCTAGCCATCTCTGACATATGGTAAATATCGTAAATATCGTGAATTTTGATATGGACATGGTGAATGATCTGGTGAAGTCCAATTCCGAGTAGTTCCGACATAATAATCATTCGATTTTGCACCCGAGCGAACGGCAGGGGCATTCAACTCGAGTCGAATGACTGTTCTTGGATTCGACTTACGCGAATGATTTGCCATTCGAATGATTAGCATTAACTGTCGAAGTCGCGCAGAGCTACTTTAATAACGTTAATCACGTAAAGGGATTTGTACTTTTGAAGCAACTAAAATGTAGTTGCTTAAGAATGAATGGTGTGTCTATAATCTGTCTTTTTTGAAGAGAAAGTAAAATGATATTTGTAGATCGCCGGTTCTCATAAAATTTTAAATAGTTATGTAGTTGTTGTCGATAGTTTTATCGATAGATTGTGAAAGATAAAATTTTGCCAAAAATGACTGAATTGTGAATGTTGCGACGTCTAATGATTACTAATTCCGTTATTACCTTCTTTATTCCTATTTTGACAGTTGACCTACTAGTATAGAAATTCATTTTTATTCATATACATTATACACTGACCTACCAACAAATGGACGTCGGGTTCGCGTTAAAAAGTGTCCGCACCTATAGGGTGTTAAAATCGCATACAGAGCGTCAATCTGGCAATAGTCTTCGTTTGTTCTACTAACAGCGCGGTTGTTCATCAAACTTGAAAAAAATTACTGCAGTAAAGTGTAAAACCAAGATTTTCCACCATATTTTCACTAAATAAATACATTGTGTTATCTTAGTTATTATTTAAAAAGTGTAATTTACAGTTGTATAGTATTTAATTTTAATTTATATGTAAATGAGTCGTAAATATAAATTACAAAAGCAAACAAAATAATCAAATAATTAACTGTCCTTTTTCTAAACATTGCATGTGCAAAAGATGGAGAGAGCCCCATTACGTCAATTTCAAGAAGCTTATAATATAAACTTCTTGGTCATTTTCAATTGTTCGAACCACAAGCGATTGAAATATTTAGAACAAAGAAACTATAGAGTCGCTTTGATTTTAATCTTATTCATATCAAAATTATTTTTTATTAAACGTTAGCAATTGTTAACAAAAATTGTAGTACTCTTTTTACAGCTTGGGATTCAAACCTATCAAAATCTAGACAATATGATATTAATAGATTTGCCGCAAATAACGTTAGCTCGAATTTTCATAACGACAAATGTATTTTTTAGGAATATTACAAAACAAAAGCAAATTTTGAGTCTGTTAAAAAGCATCAAAATTTGAGTTTACGGGTCGTATTCCAGAACTGTACTCAATGCTCAAGTCAGGATTTGAGCAGACTTGAGTATGGTTTCAAGCACTGGAAATACGAACCTAATGGCAAGGACTTGAGTATGCTTTTCAGTGCTCACTGCAATACTCAAGTCCTGACTTGAGCATTGAGTAGAGTTCTGGAATATGACCCTACGTTTAGTTGGAATATCGGTACATTCACATTTCTAATATTCGTATGTATGTATCTGCCCAACTATTTATTATTTCTTTAACTGAATTTGTACAAAATTCGACATAATAATATATATAAAAATGAATTGATATTTACAATAAAGGCTGCCCCATTTCTTATGTGTTGAAGCAATTTTCAGTCGAATCTAAATATAGTACATTTTCTTAAGTTTCCATTAGAAGCTGAATATGGTGTTTTTGGGCCCTTTAAATGGTTGCAAACAAAATTAGGCAGTACTGCAATGACGTTACAATTTAAATTAAATGTTTTAGTTTTCTTATATTTCGTTACATGTAACTTCGGACATTTTTTCGCGGTTTTTGTATTCGTCGTCGTCCATTTGTTGGTAGGTCAATGACATTTTAACAAGAATAGCCAGACTTGAATATCTATATTGAATTAAAATTAAAAATTTTAAAACATATGTCTCCTCTGTGTATTTTTAGTTCTGAATAGAGTGTATATATGTATGAACTTACAAAAATTAACAATTCAAATGAACTTGTGCTCTGTAATTGGATGAATATTGGGTCGACGATGATTCAAATGAAAGAAGTTCGGCTATTTATTCCATGAGCGTGACCAATATTTACTCGATAGTCGATAGAATATTTATCGACTACAATCACTAGCTGCATGTAAGTGGGCAACACTTAACGCCATGAACTGTCATTTTACTCCATCTTCAAAAACGAGACGACTATAGTAGTGTATACTCACGAATTTCAAGCTTGACGTCTGGGAACTCGTCGAAGTTGGAAGTATCATCGATGGAGCGCACCTCGACGGTGATGGCGGCGGGACGTTCGCGCACGTGTGACCAATCCACACCACGGAAGAATGGCACTGACTTGACATCCTCAATACCACGCTGCGAGCCCAATCTGCATGACACAACATATTCTTATAACAAAAATTGCCAGACGCGAGATTAGCGAGTCACACAAGGTGCTGTTTTTTGGGTTGCCAAAATATGCTAGAAGGAAACGTCTGTGGACCGATTCTCATGCGCCACAAGACGCGGTACACCAAAAGTGTCAGTATGCGACAAGTAACGGTACTGAGACTGCAAGATTCGGTCCTGGAACCTGTTATCTTTGGGACAAACAAAAGTGTGGTACAAGTAATGGTCTTGAAACTAATTATAGTATACCCAACGTGACCATACGTCCCGCTTTCTCCAAAATGCTTAAAATTGTCCCGCTTTGACTAAACAGGACACGCGTGACAATAAATTTAAAAGAATGGCACGAAAGCGTAGCAGCAAGTAAGCCAAGTCGCTCGCGCCTTTTACATAGTTGTGTCTTTGGCCGGAATGAATCAGTGACGGTGCCTTCTCGGCCCGTGGAACGTATTTATAAACGAAACCTGACAAATTAAAGCAAGTTTGCTCGTCCGAAATATATATAAAGCCAGCCCGCCAGACTACACAAGATTAGTTCTTATTTTAATGTTTCATCACTAGATATTTGAAAATATTTTTTGAATTTTTTTTTATCAATATATATTTCTGTCACAAACATGTATTTCACTTTTAAAACAATAATAAATTTACACGGGTCCCGCCTTGAAGGAAAAAAACGATGGTCACGTTAAGTATGCCGTAAGGGCGCCTTTCCATTATGTCGTAATGTTATATTTATTAGTGAAAATCTTGTAGACGATGATGATGTTGAGAGAAGCGCAGGGCGTTGCCGGTACGCGGTAACATGTTAGCCCTGAGGTTTCATAGGTGCTCTGTTACTGTAAAGATAATTCTTTTCAGAGCTTACTGCCAGAATTTTTATACAGGTGGACTGTGGACCAACTTCAAACAGCGAGCGTACAACGCCTTACGTGTAATGTACAATAACATCTTTAGGGTTCTGTTGAGGCTTCCTCGCTTTTGTAGCGCCTATGGCATGTTTGCGCATGCGTGTGTTGATAATTTTTACGCAATCATGCGCAAAAAAAAGTGCGTCCCAGATGTTGCATTGCATGGGAGCACCACTGGTATCCTAAGGATGATATCAGGAAGAATGGACTCGGCTGTTTTCCGTAAGTTCACCGAGTTACACGTGAACATATAATAATGTAACGAGTTCTTAGGTTTTCGCGATTGTTACACATAGGAAATGACACTATTTTTCCGGATTTAAATGGCGCATATTTGTTTTTTCAAACAAACCGACGTTTCGGGCCCTTTACAGGTCCCATGGTCACGGTTGATCACGTTGGTCACGGTTTGCAAAAAACAAATATACGCGATTTAAATCCGGAAAAATAGTTTCATTTCCTATATAATAATGTATTTATAATAATAATGAAATTTAATTTAATGTATTGTAATTGTTCTCCTTGTTTCTACTAACTTAGCTTACAAGATTGTTAGCAACAAATATGGACTAATTGGTCTGAGAATAAATTAATTTGAATTTATTTGTCGTTGAAGGGCAGTCGCGTCTAGCCTGATCCTTTATCATGACTGTCTGTCGTCGCTGTGTCGTGGACGTCTATTTTTACGTTGAACGATTGTCGTATCTACCTGTTCCCACTAGACCGTGACGACAATTTATCGGTTCACGGTAGCCGCCTTGTCGTTTGCACGATAGAATTGCTTAAAGCTGCGATTATCTGTCGTCACATTTTTATCATGACGTTTTATTTATCGTCGGGCGACTGTCGTTCTAGCTCTTCCCACAGTCACGACAGTGTCATCTTATACTGCACGACTATATGTCGTCACGACATAATGGGAATGCACGGTCTTGGGACACAGGGAAGGGTGCTACAATGTCAGGTCCTAGGATCGTTTATCGTGTGCTACAAGGCGCGGTCCAAATACGTTCGGTTCCAACAATAGGAGCCAAGATAATAAATAAAGGGCTTGTACCGAATTAGTGTGGAGCTTGGTACTTTATTTCCAGAAAAATTTAACCAACCTCAATTTTTTGCTAGATATAAGCTTGAAATAAAGAGGTTAGCAAAATAATTACAAAAATTATTATGACCTGCATTTTTTATTTATTTTAAAACAAAAGTGTGGTAGACATGTTAAATTAATTCCAGCAATACTGCGATACTACAAAAAGTCCAAAAAGCAGCAACACTTAAATGCAAAAATATTCAATATCATAATTCTAATTGGCTAATTAAATTGCAACATAATTGCAACAAGAATTACTTTGACATCTGATCTGTCAATGTTTTTATGGCATTGGCCACTGGCCCATTAGCCCAAAAATTACATAAAATCCGTTCCGTTTCGTGGGATTGCGTTCCTTTTCACTTTACACATTCAAAATCCCTAACAATTTTCTGGAAATTGCAGGTCAAAAATAATTTGTTTTTAATCCAGACTTTCTAAATTTTGAGAGCTCTTTTCAAAAAACCAACTAATAGCCTGGTCAAATTTTCCATTTATTTTAGTACCACTAAAGGAACATCTCCTTTAGTAAGTTCATGTTAAACAAATAGCCTAGCAAATAACATACCTGCGATCAGGCTCTGAGCAGAACCGCATTATCGTTTCTCTTGCTTCCTCGCTAATAGGGATTTCAGGGGGAAAAGTGAGCGACTCCCGCCACGACATCACTTTGCGGTACGTCTCTTGTGGTGACTCCGAGCAGAATGGGGGGTACCCGATTAGCATTTCGTACCTGAAACCCGGGCACAATGTATTTTATTACTTGTTGCCAGCATACCGACTGTGAACTGGCAAACCGGTACTATCTCAATTTTGACAACTTTACAGGTGTAGAGAAAAATTGTTTGCGTCATTTATATACCATCTGGTTTATGAAATAAAAATACGTAGTGTATGAGTAATAAAAATATTTAAAAAGTACATATTTTTATTTAATAAATCAGATGCTATATATATGACGCAAATGATTTTTTTCTTCGCCTATAAAGTTAATGTAAAATTGTCAAAATTGAGATAGTACCGGTTGCCAGTTCACAGTCGATATTACCATGGCTGTGTAAATATTGCAACTTATACATTAATATTCTTTTCATCATACTTGCACGTAAATAGTATGATTGCATGCAGGCCAAGTTGACTATAAAGTCCCAAATAAAACCTTAGGGCCCGTTTTCTTCTCACGACTATTTTGATTACGGTTTTGGTGATGGTTTGGTTTTATTTGGGGCATTATAGGCAACTTAACCTCGACTCCGAAGGCCCTCAGTCTTCGACTTCAGGTTTCTAACAGTCTCGTTCGTAATTCCTTATTTACTGCCCTTAATGCACCATGTACTAATTAACCGAATTTTACGGAAACAGACGTGACAATATGTATCGTAATCATTTGGCACCTGGACAGATGACAAGCGACAAATGTTGCCAGCTTCTGGGATACAATACAAAATTGTCTAATAGTATACTTTCACTTAGTATTATATATATGTATATATATATGTGTGTGTATATATATATATATATATTAACGCCATGTAAATATATTAATAATCAACAAATCTTTACCATGATCATGTTTTTATAGAATTGCCTTCCAAGTTAATGCTATAAGTAAGTAATGTTCACAAAGCAGGCGGTATATTATTAATGATTAATTTACAACGTAATCATATCATATTGTACACTCAGTCGCAGGTGAAGAAGCTGTACAAAGGCATAGTTTTCAACAAAGAAACGGTATGCTAAGTTATATAACAATGTTAAAATTTTTTTAAAAAGAAACATGATATAGAAATTATCGTTCGCTTAGCACACAAAGACATTAGAAACAATGCGAGATAATGAAATGTATTCATCATCAACTCTTCAAATGTTTTCACAGAAAATATTGCAAGTATAATAAAAAAGAAAACAAATGAGTAGCTTTAATGACCAAGGAGAGCTGTATATAGAATTATTTGATAGAGAATATCCATTCTAGTTAAAAGAACCTACGACATATCGCACATGAGAAATAACATAGTTAGCAACCCATTTATACCTCCCACTTCTGTGCACAGGTCTCCTCTCAGGCGAGGGTATGAGGCCATAGTCCGGCCCAATGTGGGTTGGGAACTTCACACGCTCTCCGTGGCTTATGAACCTTCTTCGACGTGCAGGTTCACCGAAAAGCCCGTCAAATCAAATTTCGCACACAAATTCCGAAAACTCAAGTGGTGCGAGGCCGGATTTGAACCCATGACCTCTACTTGGGAGACGGCTTTTCAAGCCACTAGGCTTTTTTAAATCGTATACAATTGACTCCATATCGCAATTTGAGAGATAATACAATGCTAGTTATCATATGCGACATATAAGTCGATAATGCAATTGAATTCAGAAAATCTCGTTTCGTATAATTAATTAACCGGGAATCTAACCCGGAACCACTTCGATCAAGTGTATTTTATTTTTTCTTTGCCTTTATATTTATCAATTTCCATTAGTAATAAAATATCTAATTGGTAAATTTCTATGTAGACCGGGAAGTAGTTATTTCAATTGGCAGTTCAAGAACCGGAGTCACAAATGACGGTTTAAACTTAATAAGTTTACAAGATAAATAAATAATTTTATAAATATAAGACAACAAACATGCTCTGATCCCAAAGTAAGTAACTAAAGAACTGCTGAACATTTTAGTATATTATGGGAAATCGGAAACTACGGCTACCACAAACACGCAGACCCGAGATAACATAGAAAATTTGCTTTTTTCTACATTGATCCGGCCGGGGATCGAACCCGGAGAGACAGCGACACCATGAAAACCGGTTTGCAATTACTCGACCAAGGAAGACGTCAATCCCTCATGAGCTTGGTTTTCGGTCTTTTGGTCAAGCTAGTGTCACAGAGTATTTTTAGTGATAAACAACATAACGCATCGCTTATGTATTAATGCCTAAATGTTACAGCAATTATAATACCGGCACGCTATGATGGTCGTTTTGACGTTTGTCCGATCATCTAGTTTCGTATTAATTCATAACTACGTTGAAGGAGCAAATTGTTGTAAATAATTTACAATAAACATTATGGAAGGTATAATTTAATGACACAACTCGGCATTTGTTTTTCAAAATTCGAAATAAAAAAAAAATTAAATCTAATACGATCGTTACTTATAGCATTTTCCAGCACAAAATCTAATACGATCGTTACTTATAGCATTTTCCAGCACAATTACTACCTCCGGCAAACTCGCGTCAATGTTCAATGCAACAAAGCAGTTTTGAATTGACGATATATTAAGTAAACATTTTTATTTTCGTTTTATTAAAATTTTTTATTCAGCAATACTAGTTATAAATCTAAAAACGTATAGATGCGACTCGCATTTGATTATATTTTTTTCGACAATGAATTGACTGACCTCATTATTGCAATCTGTGAAAACGGTCATCATTAGCGTGCCGGTATTGAAGTTTCGATGTAACACTAGTGTTAGCACCAGCAATTCATATATTGTTTAATTCTAATTTCAAAATATTTACATGACTAGAACTATTTGATTATAGAAGAATCGATAAGTACAATGGCAACACGAGCGGTTGCGGAGGAAGGGGCGGGTGTTGGTAGTTATATATTTAAATAGCAGTAGAGCTCCTTGTAAAAGAGTTCGTCAGTGGCACTGCAACTGTTATGGACAGGCGCGTAGCTTACTACCGGGCACATGACTTGTTCGTCCCGTCACTTGATTTTATAAAAAAAATATATAAATGAAAATTAGGAAACAAATTGTAGTTATGATGTCTGCAGATTTATAAGATAGGTTTTTTAACGATCGACGCGTTTGATGACACGACATGTTTAAATAAATAAAAGTAAAAAGACATTTATTTATCCATAAAACACGCAAACAAATATATATGCGAACAATTTATTTTAATTTATCGTAAAATAAATGTTGTCTTTAAGTGTTTTTTTTATTGGCAATTTATTGTTTAATTGTTTAATTTTATTTCATAAGTTTCTCCTAAAAAGTATTTATAATATTAATAGTATTCACGTTTATAATTAGTAGTACTTTTTACCTGAAAAACAGGAATTTCCTAGTTCAGGTACATGTGTTATTTTTACATTAAATCGCATAAGTAGTCTTTAGTTTTCTCTGTACGTTATGTTACTGAATAAACAATTTTATTTTTATTTATTTAATTAAAGCAAAAGAACAGTAATGTGGACAGAAAGGATGAAAACTTTTCATGCTTCACTTATTCGTTTGCTGCATCAGACCGGCAAGCGAAGTGTATACTAAACACAAAGCAATTAATAGAGGCCGTCTTTGTTGCACTATATGTAAAATGTATAAAAATTGAAAAAACAATAAACAAGAAAATTTAACCTATATATTCTTTTAAATGCTAAGAACGTATTTGCTTTATTGTACTGCAATGGCATTGTCACGCGCCTTGAACGTCCCATTCGGGAGTTGATATAATCTTAAAATCGACTCATCCGTAGAACAACGATCTATGTGCAAGACTACTTGTTTTCATGACATAGTACATTTCGTTAGCTCTTCTTCTCTGTGGATGTCAGATCGACGGTTGTTCGATTTTATATTTCCGAAACAGAATAAGATATATAAATTCTCAAAACGCCTTTGCATAGGCCTTAGTTTGAATAACGAAATTATTCTCGTAACGTACTTACTCTCTTTTTGCTAATAATCACATCGGACTTTGTTCTTCGGATGAGTCGAAATGTAAAGATTCACTATTTCAGAGCTATGTAACATAAATGTGTTTAACTTAGAAAAAAAACAGTTTTAAAAAAAACCGACTAATTGCTACTCGATTTCGGCACAGACATGAGCCATTGTTTACATTATTTTTTTTAGAGAATATAGGGTTTTGGCATTGACTCGAACACATATATCGATCAGCGAAAAATCGAGCAAGTCTCTAGGCACTAATCAAACTCACATGATAACGCCGAGACTCCACCAGTCAGCCTGCGGTCCGTAGCCGGTCTGTAGGAACACTTCGGGCGCGATGTAATCCGGTGTGCCCACAGTGGAGTACGCCAAAGCCCGCCGGTTACGCTTCCACGATTCCGCCCGTCGCTTTGAGTCCATCGCCGACGACGACGTAGATACTGTGAAAAAGAAATTTTGCCCTACCATCTCTTGTCACGTCTTGTACTATATAATTTGTGATTCGGTCTGTAATTGAAGGCGCATAGTAGAACATAGGTTGGAATCTATTCGAATATAATTTTAATTGATGTGAAACGAGATCAAAGTTAGAAATAGATCGTAACTAAACATTAGGGAATGCAAATCATACGATGATATTGACGCATGTATAAAAAAGTAAATAGCTAAAGCGACTGTACCACAGGCACCAAGACCCGAGATAAAGTAGAAATGTTAGTTTCCTACATTGACCCGACCGGGGATCGAACCCGGCTCCTCAGAGATAGCGACACCATGAAAACTATGGAGGTCGTCAACGCATTGCACAGAGATTGTCAATGTTTAACGCAAACTGTAAGTATTGGATACAGGATGGATTTTTAAAATTTTCCAAATTTAAAAAAGAAATTCAAAGCTTTTTAAACAACATTATAGGAATGTTGAAATTAAAATTCATTTACATTTCATAAAATTGGTCAAAATATTTAACTGGGTCGTTGAAAAGCAATTTTGAACAGGTAACAAATCAAAGATTTCATAATGGCGTCCTTTTTTTTCTTTTTTTTTACGCACACACTCATCCCCCGCACTAGGGAAACCCTGTATCACGGGTGCCATGGACACACACATAGGCAACCACAAATTACACTCAAACGCACGAGATAAATAAATGTAGGCCACACAAATATTTCTCCCGGCCCGGGAATCGCACCCGGGACCTCTGCGTGGCAGTCCAGCAGAGTAACTGTTCGGCCACAGAGGCGGTTTTGTTTTATTAGTTTGCAATCAATTGCATAGATGGCACTTTTTGAACTTATTCTCGAAACTAAGTAATGTTTTATTCGAAATATTAAAAGTAACTGCATCAACATCTTTACTATTTTATTATAATATGTTATTGTATAATATAATCACCGCAATAACCTTCACAATAATGTAATAACCGCCATCTGTTGGCCTTTTCGAATAATATTACAACAGCTTAGCGAGTTTACTTGGTACCATCTACTGATCAGCGTTACAAGTGCGACATTACTTTGTATGAGATTGGGTATCTGTAATTGTACAGTATTATATTATCTGTGGTATAAGTCAATATAATACTTACTGAAATCAGAAGGAGTAGCGCGTGAGAGATCGCGGTAGAAATCGGTGCGATGGCTCTTCTTGAGGCCGGTGCAGAGGCCGAAGTCGCTCAGTTTGATATGCCCACGCGCATCCAGCAGCAAATTATCTGGTTTTATATCCCTGGTTGAAGAGATAGTAGAACAAGGGTTATTTATTTATAAAAATAATATGAGAAATGATTCAAACACAAGTAGTATTATACCTATGATCACGTAAACGATCAGTCTACATTTTATTATGAAGTTATAGCATTCAAATTTAGTGCTATATGCTATATTACAAAGGCTATCCATATAATATAAATACATAATATAGACATTTTTAATAAATTATAAAAGAATATTTATAGCCGCATGTTTCTGCAGAGCAAAGGTTCTATTAACATCGGCGGCATTATCCCAAAGCAAAATAAGCCCATAAGCACAAACACTGGAGATGCGACTAAATTATGACGAAGTATATTTTAGCCATCGAGTATATAACCAGAAATCATCAGAAATAGAAACAAATATCATTAAATTTGTTTGAAAACTATTCTGCCAAATCAAACTGCGCACCGATAGGCCAGCCCGAATTCGAAACAAGTCGTCAATTGCTTCACTTCAAATCGACCAATTTAACTTGAGCTTTGCTATAATGGACGAAAATTGAAAAATTACATATTAAATATTTAATTACCGATGAGATGTGGTTACGTTTGTCTTCTAATTAGATTGTTTTGCTGTTTTTCCCACACCACCGAATGGAACAGGCCCCATTGATAGAGATATTATCCTTATTACAATAAATACAGAATATTTTTAGAATATACGGAGACGTACACACAGGTCAGTAGTTGGCGCTGTAATATTTCAGCTTTCTAATTGTAATTTCAGTGTAAACGAGAATTGATATTTTACAAGTGATATAAGACCCATTTGCCTGATGAGTTGTCAGGGATGGATGGCGCTTATTTCGTCTCTATTTCTGGTTATATATTCGATGGGTAAATTAAACGAAAGCACTTTAACTAAAGGGGCCCCTCTGATATAGCTAGAAAAAAAAAGGATATGTATATGCTAACACCTTCCCGATCCAAAACACAATACACAAATAAATTATATACTCGATGATTTTAGCACATTCAGAGTTAAGAACGCAATATTGTCAAATAACTCTATTTAACGCCGTATGCTTCGTCAGTTTGGATTTTCTAGTATATTGCACGTGTTATTAGAGTTATTTAATGGAATAATAAATCTTGTTAACAAGTGCGTAAGTGTTTATTTGCATCTCACGTACCTATGAATAAAACCGAGTTTATGTATGCTGTCTATAGCCAAGGCTGTTTCGGCCACATAAAACTGAGCGCACTCTTCGCTTAAAGTGTCTTTCTTCATGAGCAGCGTCATCATGTCGCCTCCAGGCAGGAACTCCATGATGAGGTAAAGGTTCATAGGATCTTGGAAGCTGTAGTACATTTTCACTACCCACTGATGATCAGCTTCCACCAGAATGTCGCGTTCAGCTCGAACATGAGCCACCTACAGTCGAATAAAACCAATTACGCACCCCCATGGAAGAATGGCGTAAGTGGAGTTACGTCAAAACTTTTATTGCTCCATTAGATACAGAAAAATATAACCCACATCCTCTCCAATTCTTGTAACTCTAGCGACTAATATTGTAAATGGAGCTACAAGAAATGGACCTCCCCTGGAAAAGTATAACTCACATCGTCATGTGGGTTATATTTTTCTGTATCAAATGGAGCAATAAACATGTTTGACGTAACTCCATGTTTTATTGATAAACAGTTTCTCATTTACTTCACAGATAACATGTCAATGTGTGAGATCAATAAGGTCATCATGGCCTACTTGTATTAAAGTAGTTCCACCGTTGGGCACGGGTCTCCTCCAAAGAGAGGGTTCAGGACTTCACACGTTTGTCAAAGGTAGTGAACCTTCTGCGACGTATTACCGAGATGTTTTCTATCACTGTTAAGGTGGATTCACAATACAAAAATGACGCACAATCGCAATGTGCGATTTGATCGCGAAGGCACAATAGTTGTTGAGAGACCTCGTATTTTAGAACGTTTGTGACTTTAGTTGATGTGTTCATAGGTTAGCAATACGTATATAATAGTTTTTGTTCCTTATTAGTGAATATATCTAATTTCTGGCATTGTATTTATTAAAAAGAAGAAAAGCGTTAAAAAACATGTCCTGTTAACTATCTTATAATCATAAACATACTAGTTTTTACAATACAAAGCACTCACCGTCAATTTTATATATATAATTTTACTATAAAGCAGCTAGAATGCATAATCCGCTAAATCCACTTAAGAAACTTAAAATTCCATCCACAAAAAACACTTCAAATTATAATGATAAAAGAGTCCCGTCATACAGACGAAGCGACGGTTCGTCATCGCTCATATTACCGCGTTTTGCGATAAAAAGCTTACATGATACAAGCTTTTAAATTGCATCGCGCGTTAAAATATCGCAGCTCTTGATTGATCAACTCAAGGTCGTATCGCGCAACGCGATAAATTGCTTCAATATGTTGCCAGAATTTTTGCGTTATGAATCCACCTTTAGTTAGACGTATTGCTTCTAAACATTCATTAAGCTATATACTGTTTATTCAAATATAGCCTCCAGTGCAACGGAACAAGATCCATCAATGTGTAGCTTGATGTGGTAGAGTCTGAACTTTAATGAGAAGTTAAAGTGATTCAGTCAGCCGCCACTAATATTGTAGACAGAGTTACAAGAACTGGAGGAGATGTGGATTATATTTTTTTGTATCTAATGGAGCAATAACGTTTTTGACGTAACTCTACGTATGCCATTCTTCCATGAGGGGTTCGTTATGTACATGCCACCACTTGTAATGTAAAGTATGATGTTGTTTGAACAATAAGTCAACAATAAAAATATGACAAATACAATAATAAATAATGAATACCTGTTCTTTTTCAAGCATATCTGCTTTTCTAAGTATTTTCATAGCGTACACGTGGCCAGTGTCCTTTTTCTGTACAAGCCGAACTTCCCCGAAGGCCCCTCTCCCTATGACCTGTAAATAATTTTGAAAAATAAATAATTAAATTCGCTTCTATAATACAATACAAATATTCTTTATTGCACACTGAATATATATACATATATATATATATTTTGTAAATATAATAATACAAAAAAAAAGACAGGTGCAGCTGGCGGCTTTATTGCCGGAAAACTACAAAATAATAATTAATTTAGGGCGCAACAGTGTATGTGTATTTAATACAAATATTGCACTGATTTAATTATTTTTTTTAATTTGAATAACTGCTTTGTATTAATACGTAAATTATTAACACAAAGATCGAACACAAAGTAAAATTAGTTCGATCCGGCTGCATTCGAAACAGCGCATTTACCATACCGTAGCCGATGCCCCGAGGCCCAACTGAGCTACATATTACGGAACGAACCAGCAGACGACATCTTCGTTTTTGGTCTAGTGTTGAATCTGACTGAAAAATATGGTGAGTCAGAGTAAAATACTATGATAAAAATGTTTTATTTTTCCTTTTGCAATTAATCTAGGTTTGTGCCATAGTAGTGAATAAAGGCTACAAGCCCAGTCTTGGCGAATTTATAGAGAAGACTCGCACCGCATAATCTCTATTGTAAAATTTTTATTGTAGAGGTAAAAACAAAGAAAAAGTAAGGAAAGGAGGAGATGCTGTAACAAAAACCATTGGTATAAAATCACAAGTATAATACTATAAAACATACCCTAACTGAAATTATAATATATATGCTTATGGACGAATATAAAGTAGACACTTACCTCAAAACATCGAGTATATAACCAGAAATAGAGACGAAATAAGGGCCATATATTCCTGTTAACACATTAGCGATATAGCTCTTATAAATATCAACTCTCGTTTGCACTGAAATATAAACAGGCCAACTAATGACCTGTGTGTACGTCTCCGTATATTCCAAAAAATATTCTGTATTTATTGTAATAAAGAAAATATCTCTAACAATGCCGTGATGTTCTATTAGGTGGCGTGGGAAAAACAGCAAAACATCTAATTACAAAACAAACGGAATCACATTCCATCAGTAATTAAATATTAAATACCTATGTAATTTTGCAATTTTCATCCATTATAGCAAAGCTCAAGTTAACTGGTCGATTTGAAGTAAAACAGTTGACGACACCCGCCAATTGTTTCGAACTCGGGCTAGCCAATCGGAGCGCAGTTGTCACGGTAATGATATCGCAGAATAGTTTTCAAACAAATTAAATGACATTTCGTCTCTATTTCTGGTTATATACTCGATGTCTCAAAAGGTTCAGTATTTCTATATATATTGCTCCTTTATAAAAATTTTGATGGTAGTGACGACGAAAAGAAGCAAAGTAAGTATAACGAAGAAAAAGATTTAGAGAACGATTCAAAATTTTAAAAGTAAGTGGCCAGGAACCAGAGAAAATGGCGATAAAAATGTGGGATGACGATGGAAGAGGTCGCACCGTCACAAAGTATTTATATTATCTACCTTAATAAATAATCTGTCTACCTTCAACGGCTCAAAATCCTCGACGCCAAGCCTCGATCTTTTCAGCCTAAGGAATTCCGTCTCCTTCTGTGCGTGCTGTTGCCTCTTCTCTTGCTTCTGACTCTCCGTCAAGCTTTCATCTTTGAGCGACTCCTCCAGTTTGTCCAACCTTAGAGTGACAAATATCAAATGTGTTATGAAATTATAATGTGTTTGGACATTCGATGAAAATTTCTTGTCATCATTCATCATTCTCGTCTCTAAGAGCGGTTACACACGGCGTCTGTCGAGTCTGTCTGTCTGCGGGGCAGTCGCTAATCGTCTGCCATTACACACACTGAAGAGTCGATACTGCCTCAGCTCGAGTCCAATTTTGTCCCGTACTAATACGGTTCAACGGACACTGGCTGTATTTCAGAATTCTTTTTTTTACAAACGATATTAAAACCATCTGAAAAATTTATATCGTATACTATACGTGTTCTATCTAGTTCAGTTGATTTAAAAAAAAACATTGGTATATGTAAAGTAGCTATTTACAATTTTCAGCGGTTGTCTCATTGACTTACAATTATATGGACGTCGGGTCCGCGCTAAAAAGTGTCCGCACTTGTAAGGCGCTAAAATCGTATACAGAGCGCGACACTCCGCTTTAGTCTTCATTTGTTCTACGGACAGCGCGATACTGCGATGACATAACAATTTAAATTTCGAATAGGTTGACTTGGGACATTTTTTTCGTGGTTTTTGTATTAGACCCGTCGTCCATTTATTTGTAAGTCAATGGGTTTTCTAGTAAAATTTCGTGGTGTTTGTCTTTTTTTTTCTATCGTGAAACCTTTTAGGAATCGTGCTTTCATACCGTATAGTAATCAGTATATATCCTCAATTTTACTATACATTTTTTCCAAAGAAATTGATTCAACATTTGCACTGTTATACGGTATCAACCAAAACCATTCGAGGCAGTATAGACTCTTAAGCAACGGTACAATCGCAATAGAAAGTGACGCAATTTTCAATGATTTGACATAAGCGATTGTATCGACGTAGTCGTGCTTTTGAATCGATGCAACTTCCTACAAATCGCATGCGTCGCGATACAAACGCGCGTACCTATCGCTGATAAGTTGCCGTTTGTAACCGCTCTAATGAGAGGGCTTAGGTCATCGCCCAACACACTAATAACAATAAAGAGCTTTATTTATTTTACAATAATATAACAACAATGTGGCCTTAAATAAAATCATCTAAAGTTGCATTTATGTACATGCCTACCGCTTAAGTGAGTCGGTTCCTGAGGTAGATGCGCGGGGCGGGAGGAGTGATATTTTACGTAACGGTTATATCGACACATCCGTAGAACAAAGGTCTATGTGTAAGACTACTTGTTCTCAGGACATAGTACATTTCGTTCGTTCTTCTTCGCTGTGGATGTCAGATTGACCGTTGTTCGATTTTATATTTCCGAAACGAAGTAAGATATATAAATTCTCAAAATACTTTTACATAGGACCCAGTTTGAATAACGAAATTGTTCTCGTAACGTACTTATTCTCTTTTCGCTATATAATCACATCGGACTCTGTTCTTCGGATGAGTCGATATATATAGCGCTGCACACGGGATCATTTCAACCAGATTTTTCTGACGATATTATAACAAGTTAATTGAAAAAAAAGTGGGGAATTATATCAAATACCGTATTTGCCGTTTGCGCCCACGATTTTGGAAAGAAATGATTTAAAACCTATTTCTGCCCACACCCGGTTAAATACCCGCGCGTGTTGACTGCGTTTAAACACACTACCCATCTCTGGATATAATTGCACATTATGTGTTTTTTTATATACTATTTGTGAATATTATATTAATAATTACTACTTCCTTGAAGTTTGGGTAAATGTACTCAGCCGACATAGGAATGTGCTAATTAGTAAAGGATGTGTGCAATACAAACCTCTGCTTCCTCTCATAATGTTGGGTTATGAGATTCGTGTAAAAGTTCTCTAGGGTCACTTTGGCCTTGGTGGCTTTGTCCAGCGTGTGCCCGCTAAATCGTATGTTGTCCGTACCCGTCATTTCCAACACCCCTGCAACAAAAATATCTGTGTATCATAACAACTTCCAATATTAGCATGTTGTTGACCCGTAGTAATAAAAAATATTGTTTTTGTAGCAGTAGAGTTCCTCGTGAATGAGTTCGTCCAGGGTAGTACTGCCACCTTTACCTATTTCTGCCGCCAAGCAGTAACGTCAGCATTACAGTGTTCCGGTTTCGTAGGGTAAAGGAACTGGTGAAATTACAGGCACATGAGACTTGTCAACTTAGGTCTCAGGTCTTTGTGATTTAAAGCTCTGAGTGGTACTGCAGCTGTTATGGACGGGCGTGTCGCTTACCATCAGGCGCACGACTTATTCGCCCCGTGGCTTAGTTATTAAAAAAAGACACTAAAATAAAAACCTCTCCGCCCCTCCATTAAGGGCCTACATGTGACGTCCTAGTGGTCGGCGACCGGACCGACAAATACCGATGGAGGGAGGAAGCGAAGAAACATCTCCGCGCCCTGCACGCAGGGATCACACAAGACTGGGCGCGCTGATGCCAAGTCGTATCATAAACTAAGGCCCACTTTGGGTCGCTGAGCCAGCGGAGTAGTAGTCTGTATTTTTTGAAGATGGAGTAAAATGACAGTTCATTAAAAACGATTGCTGCCGATATCGATTCTGTTGACTGAATGTAGGTCACATCTATCACGTTCTTGCAATAAATAGCCGACCTTGTTTCGTCCAACTGTTGGGCATAGGAAAATACAAATAGAAGACATATTCTAAAGATTTTCATTTTAATTCAATACAGATAATGAAACTATTTTTCCCTTTACAGGTCCCATGTCCCATGTCATCAGTCAACCGTGACCTTGGGACCTGTAAAGGGCCCGAAACGTCGGTTTGTTTGAAAAAACAAATATACGCGATTTAAATACGGAAAAATAGTTTCATTTCCTATGTTTAACAATCGCGAAAACCTAAGAACTCGACAGATAATGAAATTCGCCTGTTCTTTTTAAAATGTATACGAATAAAAATTGATATCGATACTAGTAGGCTAACTGTCAAAATAAGAATTAAGAAGGCAATCATATAATTAGTAATAATTAGAACGTCGTAACATTCACAATTCAGAAATGTTTGGCAAAACTTTGCCTTTGACTTTAGCACAATCTATCGATAAAAGTGTCGACAATTAAATATATATATAGGCAACCCTACAAATACACTTTACTCCGTCTTTGAAAAAGCCAGACCATAGTAAAATGACGGCCTCCGTGGTCGAATAGCTTGCACACCGGTTTCCATGGTGTCGCCATCTCTGAGGTCCCGGGTTCGATCCCCGGCCGGGTCAGTATAGAAAACTAACTTTTCTATATTGTCTCGGGTATGGGTGCTTGTGGTACCGTCGTTGTTTCCGATTTCGCATGTGATGTTGTCTAATATTTATTTATTTAAATGAGAAACCGACAAGCTGGCAGATAGTTTGAGAACGTTCTGTCAAAATTCCCGGTGCCCCGTGGCGAGGAACCATTTTCATCCATTCAACCTAATTGCTGTAAGTGAATAAGTATCTCATTCCTCTAAGTTCATTCCTTTGTCTTGTTGTTAAAACATTAACACCATAAAATACATAAAGATATGACAGTAAAAATTATGCAATATTAGCAACGATATTCGTGAATGTAACCTGAGCGCCGATAATACAAACGTCATGTAATGGTGTAATTGTCATTATTTTTGTTGTTCACTGGACACGAGCGCAACAAAACTAAAGCATACATTATTCAATGTTTTGCAATCAAGGGTAAGTGGAACAATGCCCGTTCGCTTCTCGCTATCTCGATAGGATTTTCAACGTTAAAATGCCCGCTGTCCTTAATACATATCGAAGTTGGAAAGCAATCTTGTCGTATCTCGGAAAATTTGGAAAATTACTTTTTTACGTAATTGAAATCAGAAGAAAAGTGCGCAATTTTTGGTCTAAGAGTCGTGATGCTACGACGATCCGATTTTAGTAGCACCTCCTTGTGAAAGAGTTCGTCCAGAGAACTTGCCTATTTCTGCCGCCAAGTAATAATGTGTGACGTGTGTGACGAGTCACCGGCGCAGTGGCAGTGCCCCTCAATTCTTCTCTGAGTGGCGTTGCAACTGTTTTGGACAGACGTATAGCGTACTAACAGGCGCACAGCTTGTTCGTCCCGTCACTTGATATTACAAAAAAAAATATTATACGACGTCGATATTTGACGAAACACACAAGAAAAATGCTGTAAAAAGAAGTTCTATAAAAGTTCTATTTTTCGGGATACGATAAGATTGCTTTCCAATCGATGGTTATTTGAACTCAGCTCTTGTTTGCGATTATTTTCGAAAAAGGATAAAAAAAAAGTTTATTTTTTATACCTGACTTTTCGGCACCACAGCACATATCGGTGAAAATTCGTATGTATCTCCCCGAATCCAGTCGAGCAGCTCGTAGTGAGCACAACGTGCAATAAGACATCCGTTGACTAATTAAACTTAGTTAACAGGAAGAACGAAGTCTACGTTTATGTCAGGCTATAAGAATTTAATGCGCGGCGCTTTGCATGTATACAATGGCAATTTATCATAATTTTCCAACGCCATTTAGCAAAAAAATTAAATATTTATATAAGCAATAGATCAATCGAAACAAACAAACATGAGTCGCGAACAGTTATTAATCGGGATGCCACAAAGACAATAATTTATTCTGTTTTTTCAACATTAAATGTGACACGGTGTCTATTTATTTACGAGTGTTAACACCTATAGTAGTTGATGGAGTCATTCGCGGTATTATTACAAAAGAACTTAATTTTCGTAACATATAACTAACGAAATACTGTAGAACAAATTTTGTCATTAATTGTGTAAAGGGATTGTGTCGTCGTGACACGTGTTACAACTAACTACAGCACGAGGTATGTACCTTGAGTAGCATCACGGCCTTGAAATGACATAATGTTGTCCATCTTCTAACTACACTACGACACACGTAAAGCTATTGACTTTGATAATCATGTTTTATAGTCTATCAATATGCAGTGTAACCAACATTAAATTACGTAATATGTTTTTATGATATCAAGTGGCGGGACGAACAAGTCGTGCGCCTGGTGGTAAGCGACACGCCTGTCCATAACAGTTGCAGTGCCACTTAGAGCTTTAAATCACAAAGACCTGAGGGACACTGCCGCTGCGCCCGTCGCCCTAAAAGCGATTACGCACGACTACTGTTAGAAGCGATCCAAACGCAATGTCGTAGCTAATTGTCTACCTTACACAGACGCGCGGCTTTAACATGCGATTGTATCGCTACAGTTGTGATTTATAAGTGTTTGCATCGATGCAATCGCGCGTTGAAAAAAATTGTTATTATTACATTATTCCCAATAAGATCCATTCAGTACGTTTTTTTTCTTCAAATATTTAAATCGTGTTTTCTCAATTTCACAATTTTGGGTTACGACAATATTTGGTTTTCGTGTGGTAAGTGGACAACTCCCATGTGCCTATAATTTCAACGATGCATACGTCCCTGGACGGAATCTTTCACAAGGAGCTTTACTGCTGCTAAATAAACAACTTCTAGATCGATATTAAGTGAGTATCCTCTGAGACACAGACATACCTATATCTAGATAGACGCCGCAAGTACAGCAATTTGTATGAAAACCGGGCGTGTCACATTTTATGTATCCACCATGACGTCACAAGAACTATTTAGTGATGGGAAACCTCCTTCCGCGCTAAATCGATTGATTGAACGTAATACACGTATTAGTATTAATCGACTCAAGTATTCGTTGATTACTCGTACAAGTTAGTCGTGAAATTTTAACACAGTAGAAAAATACCAAAACAAGATAGCTATGTCCTTTATTAGAAGTTGTTTTAAAAAAAATTAATTACTTAATAATTTAAACTTTAATTTTTAATCAACTTCAAATATTAAAATTATTGTCCTTGAAATAATATAAGCTTATTATATAACTGTCTTTTTGTAATGGAAGATCTTATCAATTGACTTAAATAATGAAAACGCACGTCAATATTGAACTTACAACTGCCTTAATTAAATTTAATAGATAGTTTTCCGTTCGGTGATTGATCAAGTTATTGAATGGCAAGACAACTGAAAATGTTACTTACTGCTGACAAAATATCTAAAATCTTACTAAAGTAACTTAAGGTTTACTTAATGTCGGCCTCGTGCAAAGTTTTTGTGATTTGATCATGATTTCTCGGATTCCTAACTCTGCTGCTCTGCATACTTGGATAGCATCTTAGGTGGGATAAACGGAGGACCGTCCTCGAAAGCAACGAATTCATACGTATGACCAACTCCAGGTTTTTGTAAAGACAGCGCACCTTTTTATTTCTATGCGTTTTGTATTTTTTTGTATTACTCGTAATAATTAAATAAAAGTAATAATTAATTATTTGCTCACTATATTCGGACATTCGAGGCAACGTGCTGCAAAAATTATCGAAATGACAGATACTACTGATAATAGATACTACAAAACTGAAAAAAAATACGAAACTTTACTAACGTTATACAAAACAAAAGAATTATAGAATATTTTTATAATATTGCTAAGGTCATAATAATTTTCGTCCCTTTGTTTTCAAAATTGATAAGAATCGAGAACAGTGTTGCCTAACGTATACATCACTAAATGCTAAATTTGGCCAAAAAAAATGTACAAGCAGCCGTACCACAGAAACTGAATGCATTATGCAAAAATGCGTTCGTTCGATATTCATGGCGTATTAACAAAGGATCACAAATATATCGCATCAATTAAAAGCCGCGATGTATTACAAATCATGAGTTGAATATTTGTTTTCTCGAAATTCATACAAAACCAAAATAATGGTTTTTAAAATAAATTTTGCATCTTCTGATTACAAAATCACTTGTCCGTGGAAGGAAATGTCCCTGTTTACCCGTTTACCCACAGTTATGGTGCTATTGCAGTTTATAATGGCACAATAATGCATTTTTCGCGTTTTCTACTAGTGTTTCTACTATCTACGATAACGGTCGAGCGCGTTCTGAAGTGTAGCAGCGGCAAGGAAGTGAATTTCACTTACTTTGGACACGCGAAGTACTTACACTTGCGGCGTCTATCTAGATATATATCTGTGGTCTGAGATGTCACGTTCCTGTATTAATAGGCTATAATCATGGGATGATACCATCTCCAATGACCGTATCCTTGGCGTTAATAATCCTCCAGAGCCGTAATGCCGAGCTATGTTAAAGAACATTTTTGATTACTCCCTTCATCGACGAATAATTGTTGATGTGCACTTAAGTCATAGTTGTTAATAAAAAGTTGTTTCAAGTAAGATATTAATAATGAACCACTGGCATACATTTGTTTCTCTCGTGAGTGTGGCACCAGCATGCAGGGTTAAAAAATCCTACACGAGATGGATTTATTAACCGACTTCAAAAAAGGAGGAGGTTCTCAATTCGACTGTATGTTTTTTTTTTGTTTCTTTTTTTTTGTATGTATGTTACGCGATAACTCCGGTATTTGTATACCGATTTTCATGATTCTTTTTTTGTTGGAAAGGGGGTACTTCCATAGTGGTCCCATTTCATTTTGAAGGAAATCATCCACCTCAAAGGGTGGCTGTTCACGCATGAAGATTCATTTTTATAAATAGCGCCTAACTTTAATTTAGGAGCAATTACTTTTAGCAATTATTTAGTTGATTTTGCTATTTCATCAATTTAAGGCGTTTTTCCCTCGATATACTTTGAGTAGTGTCGTAGTGAGAACCAATTTTTATTATCTCCAGTATCAAGTCCTGTATAGTGACGAACTAGGGGATATTTCAATGAAACTTAGCAAATAGACGTAATTCCACGTACTTTTGAGGTCGGTTTTTTTAGTACTCTGTACTGAGATTATTAAGACCGAGTTTAATAAATTTTGAAAGAGTCCGACTAATATTCAAAATTCAAAAATGTTACCTATCGTATTCTATTTGACAGGAAAACATTACAAGGCCCTTATTTATTAAATAACATTATTTTAGTATGTGAATGTTCGATAGAGACGAAATGTCATTTAATTTGTTCGAAAACTATTCTGCCAAATCATTACGGTGACAATTGCGATCCGATATTTAATATTTAATTACCGATGAAATGTGATTCCGTTTGTTTTGTAATTAGATGTTTTGCTGTTATTCCCATAACGCCAAATGGAACCGCACTCATAGTTACAGATATTATCTTTACTACAATAAATACATAATATTTTTGGAATATACGGAAAAATACACACAGGTCAGTTGTGGGCGCTGCACTATTTCAGCTTTCTAATTTGTGATTTCAACGCTAACGAGAGTTGATATTTACAAGTGATATAAGGCCTATTTGACTGATGAGTTGCCAGGGGTGGATGACCCTTATTCGTCTCTGTGTCTAGTTATATACTCGATGGGTAAATTAAACGAAAGCACTTTAACTAAAGGGGCCCCTCTGATATAGCTAGAAAATAAAAAGATATTTATACGCTAACACCTCGATCCAAGACACATCCAATACACAAATAAATTACAACTTTAAATACTGACAATAAGAATTACATTGGTGGCAAAGATTCATAATTTCAAGGTTTTTTTTAAATTTATTTCATGACCTGATAAATATTATATCAGAGATAATAAACATAGAAATAATACAAAACAAACAGTACAACATAGTAGAAGAACAAACAAAATTGTCATCTATGTGTCACGCAAACAATGCCGCATTACTTAATGTACTGAGTCAAAGTGAAGCTACACAATCAGTTTTTAAAATTGCAAATTTGTACGGTATGTAAATGACGTAAGGTGCAATGTTCTCGTGTATATTTAGATGTCACAGTGCTAAATTAATTCCTCAGTACATTCTTTGTGACATTAACGAAGGCGTCGCACATTTTCGCATGTTTCATTTTTTTATTATTTAATCTAGTCCATTAGATACAAAACAGTACCTAAAAATTATAATCTGCAAATAGAACTAATAGATATCAGCGTTTCCAACACAGCTATCAACACTACGTGTGTACAAAACATATCTTAAGCGATATTTTTAACGAAATGTTCAAGGAAGCAAAGCGTTCTCGCTAATATGAGTTACACCATCGACTATGACGAGCTGCAAGGTGTCGAAAATAAACACCGATAAGCGTTATAGCATGTTTCTTTGAAAGTCTTATAGTACGCCACGTCTTGATGGTACGCTGCCTTGAGGTAGCCCCTTAACGTGTTTTGAAGTTGATTTAGTCATAGACAAAATTTAAATAACAATAATATGTAAATTATTGAAGCTTAGCAAACTTTGTTTGTAGCCGGTTGCAAAAATATAAACAACATAATAGAAACATGAGTAACTCACTCTATAACGCGCATTAATCTCAAATCTAACACAACAAGACCTAATAATGCTGTCAATAAAATTATAAAACAATATACCTAAATGACAAACTTTAGAAAACACAAGGAATTTTTTGTACAATGACTCATTCTTTATACGATGCAATAAAAAAAAACTAATGAACAATCCAACAAATCTGTATTATGCGTTAAATACTAATAAATTGTATAATGATATGGGAAATGTTATTAACAGGGATCGGAATAGGTAGAGTTTTTTTAACTAAACTTCGAGGAACATAGACAGAAAATGGAGACTGTCTTGCGACAATATTTTTTAGGTCCTGGACCTTTCCGGGATATCATTTAAGAACATTAAAAATTTACGTAATTGAGGACAGGACAGTTACACTATATTTATCTTTGCGACACAGTGGGTCGGATCAGCAATAATGCGGACATTATTTTTTTCACGCTCACTCTCTAAAAAAAATGCCAATATAGAGATCCCATTGTCCTTATTAAATATTGTCATATAACATTTTGCCATAAATCTAATCGTTTAGTAGAAAAAAAGTGCTTTTTTTGTATGGGACCCATATCTTTAGTGCCCAATCGTTACAAAGTCTTAGTCGATCCAGTCTCGGAATCACTACAGACGTCATCTTCTATAAATTGGCACACCAAACGCGCGCCCAAACCTGCCTATTCACACTTATACGTGTCAGAAAATGTGTTTAAGTGATTAATATATGTAACTGATTTTCGAATCCCGAACAGGTCCAGGACCTAAAAAATATTGTCGTAAGGCAATATCCATTTTCTGTCAATGTTCCTCGAAGTTTAGGTAAAAAAACCGTACTTATTCTGATCCCTGGTTATATAGGTTTTTTATCCTGTTTGTTATTATGAATTTACTATTATCGCAAACTCACCCGGAGGCTGGGGCGTTGGTTCCGGTGTATCTGGGGCCACCGTAGTGCCCGGGGTGCTTTTGCCCCAAGACACGGCTCACTCTGCAACAATATATATAAATTATTAACAAAATTTACTACTCAATATGCATGCTAACATCCATCCAGCTGTGGAAGACAGTGAAACACTATACATTTCCATTTTTTTTTAATGATACAGTGACTGGACAAACAAGTCGTGCACCTGATGGTAAGCGACACACCTGTCTATAACAGTTACCGTGTCACTCAGAGTTTTAAAAAACCAATGTTATTTGCAAGTAACACTAATGTTACTAATGTCATAGTAATTCGCTTCCACATTTACATGGCGAACGGCTATGGAGTGGAATTCCCTGCCTGCAGACCTGTTCCCTGATTGTTATAACTTGGACCTTTTCAAGGCGAGAGTGAATAGGCATTATTTAGTGTGTGGTCCATCGTCGACTTCATCGTCACTTTCCATCAGATGAGATGAGATGATGGACGTCACATGCGACCTTATTTTTAATTTAAACAAAATCGGATATTACGAACGGATATATGATGTGGAGGTAATTTAAATATAGAAAAATGTGGCACACAGATTTATAATGAATTATTAATCTTGAAACTATTTAAACTATATATAAACTATTTAATTTTCAATTAACTGCCTCGGTGGCCGAACGGTTACCATGCCGGACTGCCACGCTGATGTCCTAGGTTCAATTCCCGGGCCAGGAGAAATATTTGTATGGACTACATTTATTTCTCTCGTGAGTTTGGGTGTAATTTGTGGCTGTCTCTATGTGTGTCCATGGCACACAAGCCACATGGTTTCCCTGGTGCGGAGCTTATGTCTATTATTTTTATTTTTAGTATTAATTTATTAATGGTTATTTTTTAGATTTTGTTAATGAATTGTACTGTATTTTTTATTAATGAATTATTTTATAACATTTGAGAAATGTATCAGCAATAACGGCTATTCTTATTATTATTATTAAGATATGTTGCTACCTGTTAAAACTTGATAAATTACATACATTTTACTTAGAAATTTATTTGAGCTGTTTATAAAAATGGCGACATGATCATGTCCATCATGATCATGTTGCCATGTCTAAAAATAGCTCATTCACTCCATCAGTATTCAGATTGCCGACAAAAGTGGAGATACTTTAATTTTTTTTTACTAAACTATTCATACAGCTACGTATAAAAGGTTCACTTTGATAATCTCTTAATTTTAGAATTAAGAGATGTTCAAAGTGAACCTGTTATACAGTGTCCATTTAACATTCATTCAAGTTGATAAATGATCATAATAATGATAAGAAAAATACATATTGCGGGATATCAGGGAACCAAATTTTTCAAGTTCAAATCTAGTAGAGCGAAAACCGTTGAAATACTTATCTTGAGATGCTATTACCTATAATAAGACGGTAGCTATCTCTACAATGTGATGAATCCGAATGCTGACTAGAGCCTTAACATGATGTTGAGGCTTGAACAAATATTGAGCAGAGAGAAAATAGAGGGTTTAGATTCTGTCACGAGGCAGATGATACTCTCTCAGTGCTACCCCTGATGGCCCTGCGAAGTTCCATACTGGTAAGACACAGGCCACAACCAGTGGAAATAAAAACTGTCAGAGCAAGTAAAGTCCTTCACTTCTTTAATGTTGTTAGCTTTCGCTCTGAACTGTAATTAGAGGCCATCACAATTCATTTGACTGTCGCAGTGACGAGGAACCGCGTAGGCCTTGAAAGAAGCCACCATAATAATAATAATGTTACAATACAATAAGGCTACAAAGCAAGTTACTAAAATTATTTTTAAATAGACGTTATGTGTTCCAAAACACATTTTTTACACATGTTCACTTCATGCTTTTTCCTCATCACAGTTAGCATATAGCTTTCCACTTACTACGATCCTCACATACATGTTTTGCCTCATCAACACGTTGCAATACTTTCACACTAACTCATTGTGCAAAGCATACTCTGGCCTTTCTTCAAGATGTTATCAATTCAGTTGTGGTAATTGATATTCATAATTATATTTATTTTGACGACATCCGTGGTCGAGTGGCTTGCATGCCTGTTTTATGGTGTCAACATCTCTGGGGTCCCGGGCAATTTAGGTTATTATAGAAATCTTTCCATATTGTCACGGATCTAAGTGTTAGTGGTAATGGCATTATTTCAAATGTCCGTAACTCAAGTGTTTTAGTTACTGTGAAATCAAAATATCCCCATTGAAATAATCCATGATTCCGCCAATGTCAAGTTATTATTATTTGTATTATTTGGAGCCTATGCAGCTCCTCATCACTGCGACCATTAACTGATCTATTGTGATCACCACTAGTTACATTTCAGACCCATGGCCAACATTGACCAGCATGATCAGCATTAAAAAACTGACTTTCACGGCTCCAACAGTTTTTATGTCCTCTGAGTGTGGCCTGTGCCTACCCAGTTTGGAACTTCTTACTCCCATTAGAGAGCACTGGGTTAGGAGATGCATAGGAGTTTCATCTACCTCATGCCGGAATCTACGTTCTCTGTTTTCTCTCTGCCCAATATTTGACATGTACTTATTCAAATTAAGCCACACATTTATTTTACTCTACAGAATTCGGCAGGTGAATTTTGTTGATAGACAATGCTGAGAGGATCAACAACAGACGAAATGTGGAAATCGGAAAGTTGCTTTAATATCTTCAAGAATATCCTTACAAAAGTCAAAACTCACATGCACAAAGTCTAAAATGTGTTTAAAAAGTTTTGGTCACCAAAACATTTTGAAATCGTACAAAATAAAACTTGGACCTAGTAGAAACTTGGACTTCCACACTTCTGTGTGGAAGTCCAAGTCACAACAATTTATATTTTATATTTATAACAACCATAATTTGAGAATCTCGTGGTGTGACTAAGTTACAAATGTAGAAGTACTCAATAAAAGTCAGAGTGGAGGTAATGAACACCATTAAGTGCAGGAAGATTGTGAGAGCGCTGCTGGTGCTGAATGTTCTGAGGATTATTATGTAACCAGGGGGTGTAGTAACCCTTACAGCCTCCGCAGCCTCCATACATCTTGCTTTCTACATTTAAGGTTCAAAATTCAAAAAAGGTAAAGAAATAGTGGTAATAAATCCAGTTTTATAAATGTTAGCCCCGTTTTATTAATGTTTATGATCTTTAAAATGTTTATTGCACAAGAAATTTTGGGTAACTCATAAAGGGTTCAAAAAATTAAAGAGAAGACGTGTTTGCTGACAATTCAAAATTTAAATTTAAATATGAGTGGCCTGGAACCGTAGAAAAGCAATAAAAAGGTGGGATGACGATGTAAGGAGGTCACACCATCACAAGATGTCGTACTTGGGCACCTCCCGATGAACAATAAGTGTAAATTTCTCCAGCCTATCCATATAAGACAAAATGACTGAAAACCAAGTGTTGGTAGAAAGCAGCATACCTGGTTGAAAAATTTGAGGGAAAGGTTCAGTCTCTAAAGTCAAGATGGCCATGATGTTATCCAACCTCCAATGGGATAGGAACCCCAAAAAAAAAGAAGACACAAAATTTAAAATGCGTTTGTTTTAGTGATCTTATGGAACTTAAATTCTCACACTTGCCCTTACTTCAGTATTGGCTTGTACACATAGCAGACTGGAATAAAGTTCTCAAATTACTCTTCCTCTTTTAAATGTTATGGCCCCATCCATTGACTTACAATTATATGGACGTCGGGTCCGTGCTAAAAAGTGTCCAAACGTATAGGGTGTTAAAATCGTATACAGAGCGTCATTCACGCTTTAGTCTTCGTTTGTTCGACTGACAGCGAAGCAAGCAAAATTAGACAGTACTGCGATGACATTACAATTTAAATTCAACGTTTTAGCTTTTTCATATTCCTTTACATGTCACTATGTTTAAATAGGTTGACTTGGGACATTTTTTTCGTGGTTTTTGTATTAGACCCGTCGTCCATTTATTTGTAAGTCAATGGCCCCATTGAAGTAATCGATGATATCACCAATGTCAAGTTGAGGAACACATGCGTTTTTACTCAAAAAATTTACTGGTGAATTTCAACAGAATTCATGAGAGGAGAATCCACAACGACAGAGAACCTACCACAGACTATTAGAGAAACAAATTGTTTTTTTAAAATAAATTTACACCCACATTCACAAAGGGAGAGTGGATTAATGTTAGGAGGAAGTTGATATTAACGGGACAGGGGATTTTAGGTGGGAGGATATCATACAGAGGAGTGGCGATACGATTACGAGTCAAAAAACAGGTGCTCCTTAATCACACAAACAAAATGGACTGTCAATGCAATCCCTGACATGATTGGCTTCATCAACACTAAACCAATATTCTGTCAATTCATTTCCACGATCTATAAATAGGACATGAACCTAGGTACTAATATAATTCCACTAGAGAGGAAACTAGCGAGGCGTAAGATGTAGAATTATTTGCGTCAAGTGGCGTCATAAGACTGAACCACCACGAAACTACTTTCGCGCTTGGTGTAAGTTTAAACGGCACTTACCTTAGTTTGTACTGTGGGACGAAAATTTTGTTATTTGTTTGCCAACTGCTTTCACACACTTTAACAAGTACACAGCATATAAACAATATAATATTCACAACGAAATCGATAATTTTTAAACCGATCAAATTAATTTTACGTGCGTTTTACTTGACTCAGAGAAAACTTTTCAATCGTACCACTAAGCGAAGGTCGGCGTCGCATAAACTCAAAGACTGTGTTATACAGATGAACTACAAAAGCGAAGTAACGGGATTTTTCGTGAGCGACCCGAAAGAAATTGCACAAAGGAAAATGTCTGTCAGTTCGTAGAATAGAAACCAACCTCCAACGAGCTAAGCAAAACCACAGATAATAAAATTAAAAAGTAATTCAATGTTGCCATCGGAAGAGTTTGTCCAAGGATTGTATTTGCCATTTACATACCTATTTTTCTTTCGTTGACTGTAGTCAGAAAGGATATTGTTCTTAACCGACTGTAAAAAAGGGAGGAGGTTCTCAATTCATCTGTATTTTTAACCGACTTCGGAAAAGGACGAGGTTCTCAAATCGATTGTATTTTGTTTTTTATGTGTGAGTTACGCAATAAATTTGAGAACCGATTTTAATTATTCTTATTTTATTGGAAAGAGAGTATCTCAGTATTGGTCTTATTTGAATTATAGGAAAATATTCCACCTCTAAAGGCGGCATATTAGGGGATGAAGCCTGTTTCACACACTTTCCGTTAACAGATTTCAAGAAAACTTGGCAATTAGGTGTAATTCCAATAAAAAAGCCGATAAGCAAGTTTTTGAGGTCGATTTTTTAAATAAAAATGTTATTATTATTTAGTAAACTATCCAGTAATTCACGGGGGCGTAGTCATGAATTATTGAAGAATTACTTACTTTGTTTATAATATTTTATTACCTAACACTGGTGTTCGATTTCACCGAAGTACTTAAATTCTATACACCTGTATGAAGCATGCTACCATATACACAGAAATGGTAAAATCATTATGGGAACGTAATAAGTGGTGCAATTTTAATAATAATTATACATACCTACATAAGTTCGTATTCCAGAACTCTATTCAATGCTCAAGTCAGGATTTGAGCAGACTTGAGTATGATTTCAAGCACGGGAAATACGACCCTAATGGCAAATACTTGAGTATGATTTTCAGTGCTCACTGCAATACTCAAGTCCTGACTTGAGTATTGAGTAGAGTTCTGGAATACGACCCATAGACAGAGTAAGCTCTAGCTCTTATTTTTATGGATACCTGGGTATCATTAGTCACGCCTTTCAAGTGTTTTACTTTTTCCAAAAATAGTCATTATTTTTTTAGTACTATATTATATAATGTAACTAAAAATTTATTTTACTAATTAAGATCGTTTACATAAAACTCCAATTTTCTATTCAAATAGTTACTTCGATCTTAAATATATTTATGTACTCCATCTTTATTTCAATACTTTGAATGGCAGTAAAGCTCCTCGTATCAGTAAAAAAATGAAGGATAGTTATTACGTATAGGATCAGGGTAATAATAGTCCATTCTCTACTTAAACCACAACTCTGCTCTAGTCACTTCTTTATTTAGCTTTTTCAGAGCATGCGTTTAAACATAAAGCAAGTAATAAGGTGCTTGGATTGGCAGGCAATGAAATTTCGATGTAAGGTATACATAAATTTATTGCTAGCCCACCCATCGCGTACCTGGGATTGTAAGAATATAACATAATTCTGACTTAGACAAAAGTAACAGAGTAATGGCTGTAACTAGGCATTTCTTCTTGGAAAGAATTGTATATACGATAAGAATAATTAAACTACCAATATACAATAAACGAATTATTTGATTAGGGGAAAAAATTAACTTGAAAACAATTATGAGTAATTTTTATTATGTTCGAAACTGGCTTGTATCTGAGAATCATGAATTAACTTGTAAGAACCCACATCCATTTTACCTGCAACGAAAAGTCGAAAATAAATAATACCGAATGATAGCAATTAAATCAATATATAAACTCTTCGCAATTATATATACCTTGTCCACCGTCTATAGGCACATGGCCGGAAGCTCCTACAATAATATCTTCTGAAGCTGGTTCTCGGTTCTCAGTTCTGAAATTCGCTGGTTGAACCTGGTAAAAGGGCACAACAATAAACTTTTTTATCAGTTGTGTATGATAAATACTAACCACGAGTTAAGAAAGAAATAACACGATGACTTTGTTCGTCTTGATACACAAGTCTCGCCAAACGAATATCACAAATATTTTCGGCACTCTTTTTTACTCTGCTATGGCCAAGACGTTCGAAAACACATTGCATTGAAAATAAATATAATTTCATAGCGTATCAAACCTGTCCATCGTTTCGCATCAAATCAGGTAGAGCAGCAGAAGCTGGATATCTGTTGTAAATGCCATTGAGATTGTAATGTAAATTCATGTCCGGACCAATGTTGGCCTTGAGTAACTGCTCCCAAATACCACCTGTAAATGTAAAGTGATATATATATTTGTAACTTATGCACTTAAAATATTTTTAAGTGATGTCATTAAACATTCATAATATACCTCTCTCGACATTGACCACAGGTCTATTAGATTGCCACGGATACTCGCCATGTGCTTGAAAGTAAATTGAGTATGTAGAAAGCTGAAATAAGCAGGCCGACATAATTAATTGCGGTTATTTAATGTGACTTTTAAGAAACTTGTGCACTTTTAATATCCTACCTGAGTGTAATAAAGGGAAAGCCAGTATGCTCCTCCATGACCCACAAAAGCTGTCTCATTGGCATCCATCAAACCACTTGGTAAGTTTTGATGTAAAGTTTCTGGTGAAATATGAAGATTGCAACCATACCTATAAATTTAATCCATGGACAAACAAGATAGTACACATAAAATCGTTCTCGTCTTTGTCTTATGCGATCTTACCAGTCTGGACATGCCTTCAGTATATCGTATGGAGCTCTATAATATTCAGCTCTCCGCACCACAGGATTTCTAATGTTAAACCTTTCGTTAGGATCCGAGAGATTGACGTGCTTGATCTTGACGTCTCTTCGCTCGCAAATGTAATCGTAGTGAAACTTAGGGATACTTTCTCCACGTGCACAATAAGCGGCTGTAAGTTTATCAATAAAACACAATAGAACCATTTGATAAATAGCTTGCAAACGTGTCAGTAATAAATACTAACTTTTGTATGTTCCATCAAGTGAATTTACTGTCGCATACTTATCAATACAGTAACGATATCCTAGCACACTTGGAAAACGAAGGTATGGCACTCTACAAGAAAATCGTCCTTCTTGGTACATAGCGCCCTGAAAATTGTGCATCAATATAATGAAACAAAATAAATTAGATCTTTAAGTATTTTGCTAATAATTTCCTTCATATAATTTTATTCATCTCTTGGGTTATGAAAAAACATGTTGATTGACGATGATGTTGAAAAGAGATTGTGGAATGCCGTAAAAAACAAAAGTGAGCGCTAATTATTTATTCTACCCACAAATTGGGAAAAGCAGTTATTGTGGCAGCTCTAAAATAATTCTAAATAAATTTTAAAATATTATCTTATAGAATAATAATAAATTAATAGGTGTCAGCCACTTTAGTCTAGTCTTAATAAATGAGAAAATTTGGTATAAAAATTGTTAAATGCAGGAAAATATTTTTAATATCGAATTATTTTCGAGTTTAATAATGATCTAAATCAGTTATACTCAACCCTGCAGCCCGCGGGCCGCATGCGTCCCGCCACATCACGCTAAGCTTATAAGCTTTTTAAAATTTGGAAGTTTTTGAAATAGGTATTGAGCGGATATATTTAGGTTTTGTGTTTTATTCATTATATGGGGAGGGTCTCCCATTACACATGTTATATGAATCACTTACAAAAAAGGTAATCCACCACCTAAATCAATACATCGGCCCGTATGACAACGTAGCAAGAAAAGATTCAGTGCCTATAGCTGATCTAAATGGTACCTAGATATTAACAAACTTCCGAGTTTTTAGCACGACAATGATCCTGAAAAATTCGTACAATATGTAGATCACGATACCTTACATATGACGCTTCGTCTACCAGGAGGCCTTGAAACACCTCCAAAGCAATACGTTCTGGTACCGTTGATCATAATTTCCGTTGCACCGATGTGAGAGATAAGAGTTATGCCGTTAATTCCAGCAAGAGCAAAACGCTGAAGGCCCGCACGTTTGCGAACTTCCACGTTGTTCTTCATGCTCATCGTATTAACTATCGCTTGCCACCCATATACGAATTCGTGCATCGGTCCTGAGTTAAATTAAAATTCGCGTGTAAAAATTGGATTTTAGCTCATCGTATCGTAATAAATTTCGTAATAAACACCTGTCATAATGATCGGGTTAAATTCGCAACTCTAACTAAAACTTGAATAGTTAACTTTAACACGTTCATAGTCCACCAAAGGCTGAAATCAACTCCCCGCATCCCCGTAAGAATATGTGTGAAATAGTGTAGGTTCTGTCTTTTACTCTCAAAATGTATATGTTATTTGAAAACTAGTAACAACCCTGCAGAACTATATTACTAACATTTTAAACAAGCTCCTCCACCCACCTAGACGTAGTACCCTGTTGGGGCTTAAAGGTAGGCGTCCACAGATCCGCAGCACACGCATCGGACGGATCGCATTATACGGATTTTAGTATTTTTTGTATAGAAGTTCATACAGCTGCGTTCACTGATCCGCATCGTACGGACCGTACGCACCGGCCTGCCGGTAATGCCCACACAGATGCTCGGACTTTTCGGATGCGTGCCGACTACGTCATTCGGATTGCGTATTAAGTATCCAGATATCATGTTTCCTTTTTTTTCTTCTCTTCTTTCTTCTTCTGCCTACAAACAAGCCACCACAACAAATTGTTCCAAAATCCAAATCATCAAAATCCATTATCTCACACACACAAGTTACACTCGTCCGCTCGCTACGAGAAGTGGCGTCGGCAATCCGATTGCTGCGGATACAGTGGACGCACTGCCACAAACGGAGCCGTTTGATTCGATCCGTCTCATGCGTGCGCTGCAGATCTGTGGATGCCTTCCTTTATTCGTCTATACCTAGACTATGCAGACTGTACAGCGACTGCAGTGTGTTATATTTGGTTATATTTGGTGCATCACTAGTCTGTTACCAGGCAGCTTTATTTTACGTGACTTATAATAGTTGCAACTTCATGCCTTAATTGTAATGCAGTATAAATATAGTTGCACAAGTAATTTTTATTTAGGTATGTTTGTTAACATCTTACTGTCTTCCTATTTGTAATGTTTATCATATCTTTCTATAATTGGTATTTGAAATATATATTGTATACATGTTATATAAATTAAAAGTGTGAAAAAAGTATATATTATGTATGTAAATAATTAACTCTTAATTTGCGGTAGTCGCGGATCCGAGGCGGACTTATTTCCAACGGACGGCCAATTAACTGCCGGTGTTTCACTGTTGCATATTGTGGTACAACACTTTAACAATACCTACTCCATTTGAATTGTATAATCAAAATTCTATGTACTTGTTGGTTGTCCTAAATAAATAATAAAAAAAAAACAACAACTTTTGTTGGAAATGACTACTACTATCTGACATTTTTTATATGAATATTTGGTAGTATAAGTTCAAACGCGCAAGCGTCCTCCGCGACAACTGCCACCCCCGTGCTGCACAGAGTTATTACGTTTAGAGCGATCTATTCATTTTTGTATGAAAGCAAAATTTATGAATTAATAATAATCATGGAGCAAGAGTTGTTGTTTATGATGTTGGTAACATAGACAAGCGAGGTTTTTAGCATTTTACAAAATAACCCTATAAGTACAAGTCAAGAGCACGTCAAGCTTGACACTTAAGATTTAAATCCAACTCTATGCTTACGATAAGAACGGTCCAAAGTACAAAGTGTCAAGCTTGACGTGATCTTGACTGTACAGTCGCAGTAGCGCTCCTTGTGAAAAAGTTTGTCCAGGGAAGTGCTGTCACTTATTTCTGCCGCCAAACAGTAGTGTGAGCATTATGCGTTTCACGTGGGACTTGTCAACTTATGTCTTAGGGCGACGGGTGCAGTCATTGATAGTGCTCAGATCTTTGTGATTTAAAGCTCCGAGTGGCACTGCAACCACAAAAAGATATCCATATTATTAGAATATATTTGTTTGTAGTTGCGATTTTATGTGTATGCGTATAGGGTTGAAGCAATATGTGACTCCAGGTGGAGGCATGGGCTGTGAACATGTTAAACAAAGTAAAAAAGCGAATGATTGGGTAAGAATATAATAGGAAATGAAACTATTTTTAAGCGACTTTATAGAAGGAGGAGGTGCTCAATTCGACTGTAATTTTTTGCACGAAGGATACCACGCGATTACACATTTCTGAGCCGATTTTGATGATTATTTTTTGTTGGAAAGAGACTAACCTCAGTATTGGTCCCATTTAAATTTGAACAAAATATTCCACCTCTAAGGGTGGTAAATTAGAGAATGGATCCAGTTTCGCGCACTTTCCGACAAATAGATGTAATTAGACGGACTTTTGACAAACCAACGTTTCGGGCCCATATATTAGACATAAATGGTTGATAACTTTACCATCTCAGTCAGTCGTGACAGTGGGACCTGTTCGCGCCCAGTTACATGAGAAGAAAGTTTTCGCGAGGCCGCCGCGCGGCGACCGCCCAGTTACCACGCCTTCATGTACATGAATGCCGAATCTCCCAATAAAATTACAGAGCGGCCGCCACGCGTTCGTCGCGTAGACCAAATTCATGCCAGGCTAGCCCGCGTGCCCGGAACGCTCATTTAAATTAAAACGTAAAAGTTACACAAATAGAGCGTATTTTGCCATGACAGTTAGATGCACGCGGTCGCTGCGCGGCGGCAAGGCGGACTCCGATGTTCGACCGCGCGGGGTGAGCGCGATCAAATTCTTGTCAAATAAATGCTCCCTAAACGTTGGCTTCTTTGAAAAACAAATATACGCGATAAAATAATTTCATTTCCTTTAAAAACTTTTCTCAAACATGCTTTGAAATGTTTGCATTACTTTCAAAAAACGAACACGGAAGGGACATTAAAGGTCTATCCACACATATCCGGGCCGTGCCCGGGACGTGGATGGGCTGTGCCACGTCAGAGGCTCAAAAAAATATCGTTGCGTATATTTTGTATGTACTCGTTCACACATGTCCGTGTCCAGGCCGGCGCCGGGACGGGCCCGCAGTTCATACAAACTAGCACCTGCCCTGATGTGTGTGGATAGTCATTTATGGACAGTGTAACTTCTTTCCGCCCAAGGCCTGCAAAGTACGTATGACAATCCATAAGGTTTAACACACACTGGCGCAGAGTCGAAGAGTCGCGTCGCGTCCTGTTTCTCAACTACACCGCCTGGCGACGCGCGTCGACGCGTGACGACCCTCGCATTAGTGTGCCGGGATCACAGTGTGGATTTGCAAAACACAAATTTGTACCTTAATAATGGCAAAATAGAGATGAATATGCTATAGGCAAAAAACATGACGCATCGCGACGTTTCGACTCTGCGCCAGTGTGTGTTGAACCTTATTGTCCACTTTTCTAGAGTTTTAAATCTACGTACTAATAATGAAGTATGTAAACGGGCTACAGAAAAACTCATACACACAACTGAAAGTGTTCGTAATAATTTTTTAATAATTTTTAAAAAAAGGCGGTGAAATAAACTAATTTCGTTTTTTTTTTTGCCTTTTTTCCATGTTTGTCGCGAAATTAAGTTCTAGTGAGAAGAGCGATAACTCAAAATGCCTGCAAATACTATGTAAAATATTAATTTTGATTAACATATTTTTTACTTTTTCTATTATACATTTTCTCCTATTATTTTCTCACATTGTTTGACAAAACCACTATATAAGCCTCGGCGGGAACGGGGATTGCTGGACTCGTAAACAATCCCTTACTTCCCGGCCTCTGCAATAATGTACTATATTTCGCCCCGTAACTGACTGCCTTGTATAGTTTTCATTAACTTACGGTGGGCGGTTGTCGTAATTTATTTTCATTGTACTAATTTGAATATACCTATCCCAAAGCTGTCTCCGTCGAGGAAGTTGAACATTTCTCCTAATGAATCTGGCATCAAGCCAGCGATGACTGTGGTTTGTTGGAAGTTCTCATCCGGCATCATAGGTACGATATCATCCGGTGGTGTAGTAAACGCGTGTGCCGACATTTTGGTTGGTTCAGTAGCACCTAAAACCTAAAAGGAGATTATTATATTGCGTTCATAATTAATCAAAAGGCTGAATGGATACTGTAGCACGATTTTAGATGGTATCGACCGAAAAGCTCTTGTGCAACGTTTTCTTTTTAAAAAATATTTTTTTTATTTTAACAATATCTAAGCCTATAAGTCCCCTAAATATACTTTAAACAAAACAGCCCTTAAAAGACAACCCGGCAAAATGATACAATTATGCAACATACAATAGGTACAACAACGAAACTAAAAACAACATAATGCAACACCATTCGTATCCCAGACTTGTGCCCCAAACAATGCACACAGCCAACTCGCTGCGTCCGGGAGTAATCATGTTTTCCGCGGATTAATATTATTCTGTGGTCGTGTTACGTTTTCCGATTGCGATTTTGTGTAAGCTACAAGTAATTTCTTACTCCATTGATTATTAACACCAAAAACAAAAATGTCACCCGCCACATGATGCTCACAGTAGTAACTACGCGTATAGAGTCGTTTAACTGCCAACTTTCTATGCCAATAAGGTTAATTGGCTATAAAATCGCAAAATTGTTATTTATAAGCTATTAAACTTGATATCATATAAGTACATAGGTATGTAGCAGGGTTGTTCTGAATATCAGCATCAGCGTGGTCATGGGTTCAAGACCCATCGGGTCGATGAAATTATTCTTTTCCTTTTTATTAGTATTCGATCTTTGGATTCTCATTCAAATTACATTTCGCACGTAAATTCCGACTTCTCTCCAGACTAGTATATCTAAGATTATATCGTTACGTTATGATTTACCTTACCGTCGTTTAATCGCTAAGTATCTATTTGTTAGACTATCATAATACGTCTGTATCAAGGTTGTTACGAATATCAGCATCCGCGGATAATCTGCGTCACTTAAAATATCCGCAACCACATTCAACCACATTCGGTTCAAAACAGATTTATTTGTTTTTCGATAGACATAGCTTAGTTTGCAAAGTCAATTTTAACGGCTACATAGAATTCTTTAATATCTAATGCACAAAGCATGTTGTTAATCTGAAATATTGCAAAAATTAGAAATATAATTTTGTAGCACTTTTTCAAAGTGCTGCTTTTGATATTACAGTGCAGGGTTGTTGCGAATATCAGCATCTGCATCCGCGGATAATTTGGTTAAATTAAAATATCTGCATCCGTATTAGCCTCTGTAATGAATGACGCTGATATTCGTTGCCGATGTTCGAGTCGTGAGAAGGCACGCTGGAATAATTTACAAACCTTCCAAAAACAAACTGTAAGCCGAAAAAGAGCTCAGCTGTTGTTTTTAAAATACACTTCCGGACACATAATTCGAGCCACCACGCATTTTTAGTATTAAGTACCCTAAGCTTAAACAAATTTGAAACTAGTACCTATACTAAACTTCTTTTCCATAAGTCCTTGCTGGGAATTTGGATTTGCAAAACCGGTGGAAGCCTTTTTCTTTATGATAACACTATTTTTGTATTCTAACCCTTTACGACGGAGTATATAACTTTGCTAAAATTCTACAACGATAAAGCTAAACAGATTAATTCTTTTCGTGAAAATTTATTCTTTTGTTATAGGTATTGAAATGTCACAAAAACCATATGAAATAATATTTTATTACAATACCAAAGTAAGCCTTTTTATGTACAAGCTTAGAATAATAACGCATGTACATAGATGAAGTAGATAGATTCAGCAATAGACGTACATTTTTCGCGTTTTTACAAATACCTACATTTTTTATAATCCGTATATGCCGGATCCGTATATGCCGATCCGGTTGCTGATTTTTTTATAAATCATCAACCGGATCGGCACCCGCTTTGTAAAAAACCTGCATCAACAATGTATGTAGTTCAGAATTAACGAAGATAAAGCTGTTCAATCGATGTTGTGTCCAGAGGTGGGCAAGCGTCCGGGTTTTAATCTTTAATAAATTATAATTTAAAGCTTTGTTAACACCGGATTTAAATCGGTAAATTAAATTTGCAACTAAATAATTATTTTAAATAGAGTTCTGTTGAAATTTATGATATTATTTCAAAATGTTCATTGTCTTCTGATCTAGACGATTCGACTTACCTTTCTAAGGAATAGATTCGCTTTAAAATCGTATTAAAATAAATCGATACAAAAAAAATATTAGATCGTAAGTTCGACCTTTATACAAATCGAATTGTTATGGCATCCGTGATAGTGAGAATCCACAGGATAGCAAGGCGGGTACCTATTGTATGGAGTTGCCTCTTTTTCGTTTAAAAAAGAATTGCGTATTCGCCGTTTCTGCCTATGATATTTAGTGCAGAAATGGGTTTTTGGTTAAAAACCCGGGCGGGTTGACTGTGTTTTAACCCACCGCCTGTCTCTGGTTCCATGGCTGAAAGCATACTATATGGGATGCCGCTGTTTGCTTCGAGTTTGGGTATCGTCTCTCGTTTCTCATATTTATCTCTCTTTGTTTGTCTTCGTTCTTAATAAGCTTCCAGTTCTGCCGTCCTTATCATAACTAAGGCAATTTAAGCGTTATAATATAATTAATAACATATCTAGGATCAGCGAACGGGATCTACGAACCCCCTTAGATTTTTTATATCTTGTTTAGTTTCAGTTTTATTGTTAAGTTAAACAGCGTAATTGACTTTTTTATGTGTGACAATAAACTGTACCGGTGCACGTGTGCACTTCAATTTAAGTGAAACAAACCCTACAGGTTGTTAATGCTGACTAAATTTGACCACCAATCATCGAGTATATAACCAAAATATATCCCTGGCAACACATTAGGCAAATGGGCCTTATATCACTTTTAAATATCAACTCTTTTTTGCGCTGAAACCACAAATTTGAAAGCTGAAATAGTACAGTCCCAACAACTGACCTGTGTGTAGGTCTCCGTATATTCCAATTATATTCTGTAAAGATAATATCTCTAACAATGGGGGCTGTTCCATTCGGTGGTGTGGGGAAAAACAGCAAAATATCAATTACAAAACCAACGGAACCACATTTCATCGGTAATTAAAAATGTAATTTTTCAACTTTCGTCCATTATAGCAATGCTCAAGTTAAAGTGGTCGATTTGAAGTGAAACAATTGACGAAACTCACGACACCTGTCGATTGTTTCGAATTCGGACTGGCCAATCGGAGCGCGGTTGTCACCGTAATGATTTGGCAGAATAGTGTTGAGTGTGTGCGTTTAGTTTTCAAACAAATTAAATGACATTTCGTCTCTATTTCTGGCTATAGGAACATTCGACGCCACCAATATAAATAATTCTTATTATCTATGTCAGTATGATATGCTAATATGACCACCAATAAACGACCTCTATGACAAGGAGAGAACTCTACCCTCCTCTATGAGGAGGGTAGAGTTCTAGGAACGTCATGACCTGAGCTATGGGGAAAATGGGGGAATATACACTAGGTATTTGATAAATTAAGGAACAACATTTTAAATAAATCTGTATATATTTGGCATTAAAAACATATTTATTTCATACATTTGTGGCAAACAAATAATTAACATGAAACTTTCGAAATAACAAAGGCACGTCTTATACTTTTATGACTTAAATTCGACTCTATGACTAAGACGGCTCTAAGTTCAAAGTATGAAATCCAGAGTTCTGCTGGCCATGAAAAAAAATAAGCCAAATTCTGTAGGTTAAGTTATTTTACATTTTTCATTAACATATATAAGATCATTGTTCTTCATACATTTGAACTCAAGTGACTTTGGTACATAGGCTATTTGGATGCTTATAAGCAATAACGTAACCATTAATACTGCAAAGTTTGAAAAACAAAGGTTTTCAATCAGGGCGTTCTCTCCGTTGTTTATGACAAATAGAGCAGAGACGTGGATACTCACGCAATGGAAAGACGAGGGCAAGGTATGGAATGAGGTTATCCGACAGAGAACTAATGTCGTCGACGAGCTTGCCATATCTGTCGAAGAACCGATAACCTATGGGGGAAGCGATTTCTTGAGTGAAGACCACGGCTCGTCAAACGTCCTGGAGTAGGACGCCCAGATGGAGTGACAATTTGCGAAATGCTGCTGTCAGCAGATGGATGCGACAAGGCGAGGACCGGGCGAAATGGCGTCCATTGGGAGAGGCCCATATCCAGAAGTGGATTGCTATAGGCTGATGATTGGCATGATAATGAAGCAATAACATGTCAACCAACATTATCATACTTTCGAGAAAATAGCATCAATAAAAATTTTTATGGACTTTGTTGATGAATATTTGGAGGTTTCATATTATCAATTATACTCTAGCCAAATTCGATGTAGAATAAACGTTAACAAACAAAAACATATGATTTTTAGGGTTTCCATCTCAGACTCTTTACAGTTACCATAATTTCAAAATTCTCCTACGAAATTCGACTAGATTATGGATGATACTAAATCTTGATGCCATGTTTATAATGAATATTATTCAACAGAAGTTTCAAATCACTAAAAATGATATAAAAATGACCAGTAATTAATTATTTGTAAAATGTGTCATCCCTAATAACTTTTTGATTTGAAGGTAGAGATTGCAAACATTCGAGTTCTGGTGGTAATTCAAGTTCAAAATCGGAAATAGATGCTGGATGATATAATATGTAGTAAATTAATATCAAATAAATTCTTAAAACCATATAGCAGTAAATATTAATGGTATGCAAACACTTATTTTTATTCCTAAATCATACGTATCAATTTGTATTTTGTAAACTTTATAATAATTAGCTAGGTAAGTATTACTTCTACGTAACCTAATTACCTACTTACCTATTTAAATTCAAATTAAGGTAGCAGATCGTGGGCAGAGCAAGCCTTAATAATGAGCATTGAAAAAAATGTTCTTTCCCGAAGCCATCATTGGTTGCGTAGCAACGTTTTGTTATTAAACATTCTACATCAAATTTGGCTAGAGTTATAGTTTATGTTTGCAAAAATGTAGATGTGACGACAAGATACAATTTATCATTAAAATACCGACATTCGAGTTTTTGTGGGTTGACACGTTATTGCTTACCAGCATCCATTTATCGTCATTAATAAATACAATACTGACAGAAGCATAGCTGCGTTTTTATAGATGACCAAGACACAGAGTGAAGTAACTTGGCCAGTTCATTTTGTTATGTGCATTGTCTTAATGCGCTTCTCATTTATGCACCAGATTGTGATGTTTATGCAAGTTGATCGGTGGCTATGAGTGGTGAATGTTTGTGGATTTGTGAGTCTATGGATGAGTGTGTTTTCTGTGACTAGTTGAGTACCTATTTAGGCTGCGTTTCCACCAGACATAAGCGAGGTAGCTAGGCAGTGTGCAAGAAAAAAA